TAGCAAACTCGAGGAAGGTAGTGGTACTTGCCTTCAGGTGGTCACGGAATTTCCTTCTATAACTTTCAGTAGAGAGGAGGTAGGCGTCTAACACTGCTTGTTTCAGAGTGTAGTAGTCATTCTCAGACGCCAAAGTACTGAGTGTGACTGCAGCTCTACCTGTAAGATGGACTCTGAGAAGTGTGGCCCATTGGTCGACAGGCCAACTGAGTTGATTAGCAAGGGTTTCAAAGGTGGTGAAAAAAACATCAACTTCTGCTTCTACAAAGGATGGCATTAACTTACTTGCATGTGATATATTAAAACTGACGGGAAGATTGGCAGTAGCTTGCTGGCGTTGAGCGAGGTGTGAAGTTTCCAACGTGTATTCCCGTTGACGACACTCAAGAGCCAGAGTCGCTTGTTGCTTGTCATGTTCACGTTGCATTTCCAACTCGCGTTGTTTGGTTTCAAGCCGTATGCGTTCCCGCTCCTGGAGTAAGGCAATCTCACGTTCTTGTTCTTCCCTTCGTATGGCAGCTGCTCGTTCTTGTTGTTCGAGGGCTTCCCTTTGCTGTTCGCGGGCTTCCTTTTGCTGCTCACGTTCAATCTTAGCCAGCTCTAGTTTAAGTTTCATCGTTGCCAAGTCAGTTTTATCTGCAATATAGTAAGTTTCATGAGTTTCAGAGTCTATCTTACCTTGCTCTAAATAGTAATCCAGCAACAGGTTGTGTAGGTCATTTTTGTTGGCTTGATAGGGAACTTCTAGTTGATACTCATGTGCAAGAGTTTGTAGTTCAGTCCTCTTGGCACGACTTAAAGTCCCTATTTCACCTGCTGGATTTGCACGGAAAGTTTGGAGACGAAACATGGTGAAATTAGCAAATAAAGGTACACGAATGTTCAATAATGAAATGTCAGAAACAGGACAACGTGGCAACTGGTACCTATCCTGTGTGATCTTTAACAATTAACGTTAAGTGAAAGATATTAAATGATTAAATTAAATCAAGGGCGCAGGAAATCTTGTACCCGGTACTCATGTAAGAGAATAAGGGCAAGAAAATCCTACTAACAAATGAAACAAAGTTTCGAAAACAAATGAAACAGTTAAATGCTTCAAAAGTAAAATTGGTAGTCCAAGGATGTAGGCATACCTTGCCAAGTCTCTAAAGGACATAAAGCAAGTTTTTCCTACTGAATTTAATATGATACTTACAGAATTAGCGAACTTTTGTGCTCTGAAAAAATAAGCTAATTCCCTACCGTTGTATGTATCATCATCTCTGACTGACGTGTAGGGGTGCGAGGTGTCAACTGGTGACGAGAACTGCTGCTGAGGTCCCAATTCAGCAACTAAGGTTCGAGCTAGAGGAACTATGGCCCTCTTTGTCCTCCTACAGTCAGATTGCAGAAGATTGGGTACTCTTGACCCGGGGCAGACCACAGTACCAGGGTACCAATATGATGATCTGTCAGAATGAGAAATATTCAAGGGACATAGATGGTAAATACGAGTAATAACAAGGAGGGAGAGATGACCAATTAAGAGTATGACTGAGGCCTACAGTCACCACGTAATCCAAAGTTGTCTCACCTTCACTATATGTTACTCTCGTAATGCACAATACTCCGCACCTTATAAAAAATGAAATTGAATGAAAAATAGTAAAGCTACGTTAACAAAGTTAAATACGCTTACCATAAATTACCACTTGGCACCAGTACCTGAGTGAAGCTCCTAGGACAGGCCCCCATATAACTTGTGACGGTAACGCGTTGGTGTTCGGCTGTTTAAGGCTAGGGGTATGGCCTCGTCACATAGTTATAAAAAAAAAATAGAAAAACTGGAACTTCGTCTGTGGTAAGGTAAGGAGAAGACACACAAAACACAAGTAAACTTTAACAATGAAATTTTAATTACGTTAAATAAATCAAAACATGAAAATAATGCACAAACAAATTCTTATAATAAAATCAATGAATCAAAATAATAAGAATACTTAAATGACAAAATGAAAAGTTACGTTAAGGCAAAATAACAAGTGCAATACAAAAGTTAAGTGGGAGGTGCTGGAATATTGGCTTAAAGCCACCACCTCTCTCAGTACACGCTAGAGTCTAGCTGGGAGGTGTGATGGCCACGAAAGCACTGAACATTCTGAAGACTGATGTTGGGGCGACCCCAGACATCAGGTAGTATTGGGGGGGGGGCGAGGCAGGTGCAGCCAGACCGGCGACCAATCAGCGGAGCCGTAGTGATCAACGGGTAGTTTGGTGGTTGGAGTTCGACCAGGTGGCTGGCTGCATACGTTTTTGCTCACCCTGGCAAGCCTTGCTGGTGTTGTTGTCGTTGTTGGACATTTCTTCCATAGTCTTTTTATATAATTGTGAAGACGTAATTATGGAGGGAAGAGCAGGCTCAATCTCTTGAAGGAGATTATCGTCACACTTTACACTCAGGATGTGGTTGACTTTGAGATATGATAGATACATGCAGGTCGTTAGATAGATTGGTAGGTCAATATGTGCCAATTTGTAACTATGTAGAATGTCTTTTATTATCATTCAGATTCTGTAACTTTGTATATAAATAAAGGGATTTTATAACCTTAAGTATCATGTACAATAAATGACTGATGCATTTTGGACGATGTAGGCAAGTGATATTCTTTGTGAACTAATGTCTTGTCAAATCTAAACATACAATTTAATACTGTATATAAATATCTGATGTAACATTGTAACAAGTATTCTGTCTCGTAAACAAATACATAACTTAGTCATATCAACAAATAATTGGCCTATAATGTAAACAGGTGACTAATTATAGGTGTTTTGTGTTTTTGACTTGTTTATATATATATATATATATATATATATATATATATATATATATATATATATATATATATATATATATATATATATATATATATATATATATATATATATATATATAAAATAATGTCGTACCTATTAGCCAGAACGCACTTTTTGGCCTACTATGCAAGGCCCGATTTGCCTAATAAGCCAAGTTTTCCTGAATTAATATATTTTCTCTAATTTTTTTCTTATGAAATGATAAAGCTACCCATTTTATTATGTATGAGGTCAATTTTTTTTTATTGGAGTTAAAATTAACGTAGATATATGACCGAACCTAACCAACCCTACCTAACCTAACCTAACCTATCTTTACAGGTTAGGTTGGGTTAGGTAGTCGAAAAAGTTAGGTTAGGTTAGGTTAGGTAGGTTAGGTAATCGAAAAACAATTAATTCATGAAAACTTGGCTTATTAGGCAAATCAAGCCTTGCATAGTAGGCTGAGAAGTGCGTTCTGGCTACTAGGTACGACATATATATATATATATATATATATATATATATATATATGTCGTACCTAGTAGCCAGAATAGTCTGGCTACTAGGTATATATATGTCGTACCTGGTAGCCAGAACGCACTTCTCAGCCTACTATGCAAGGCCCGATTTGCCTAATAAGCCAAGTTTTCGTGAATTAATAAATTTTCTCTATTTTTTTTCTTATGAAATGATAAAGCTACCCATTTTATTATGTATGAGGTCAATTTTTTTTATTGGAGTTAAAATTAACGTAGATATATGACCGAACCTAACCAACCCTACCTAACCTAACCTAACCTATCTTTATAGGTTAGGTTTTGTTAGGTAGCCGAAAAAGTTAGGTTAGGTTAGGTTAGGTAGGTTAGGTAGTCGAAAAACAATTATTTCATGAAAACTTGGCTTATTAGGCAAATCGGGCCTTGAATAGTAGGCCGAGAAGTGCGTTCTGGCTACTAGGTACGACATATATATATATATATATATATATATATATATATATATATGTCGTACCTAGTAGCCAGAACTCACTTCTCAGCCTACTATTCAAGGCCTGATTTGCCTAATAAGCCAAGTTTTCCTGAATTAATATATTTACTATAATTTTTTTCTTATGAAATGATAAAGCTGCCCTATTCTCTATGTATGAGGTCAATTTTTTTTTATTGGATTTAAAATTAACGTAGATATATGACCGAACCTAACCAACCCTACCTAACCTAACCTAACCTATCTTTATAGGTAAGGTTAGGTTAGGTAGCCAAAAAAGCTAGGTTAGGTTAGGTTAGGTAGGTTAGGTAGACGAAAAAACATTAATTCATGAAAACTTGGCTTATTAGGCAAATCGGGCCTTGAATAGTAGGCTGAGAAGTGCGTTCTGGCTACTAGGTACGACATATATATATATATATAATTTATATTTATATTTATATATTATAATGTACAGTAATTGTGTTGTCTTGTGGAGGACAGTAGTGTGCCTGTGGAAGATATGCAAGTTATTTATTGCTGTATTGATATTGGATCTAACTGTTGAATGTATTTCAATTCTTGTGGACACATTTAGTGTTTACAGTTGCATATATACAAGTCACAGACATTACAACCATAATTACTTTGCTCATTTTCAGTTAATTTGCCATGAAACCAATTGAACTCTTTCCTTATGATTGATGAACTATACCATCTAGTATGATAAACCGATTTGCATAATATTTGCTGATCATGGAGTTCCTTTTATCATCTATGTTTCTAATACTTTACTTTGATTTCAGTGTATGTATTGTAATTTAAAATATTCAGATACATTTTTATATTGTAATACAGTATCTTTATCCTGACCTTTCAATAAATTTTGGTGAGTTTCTTAAAGTGTGAAGAGATTACTATGAAAGTGCTTTAGAAAAAGCCTTCACTCAGGTCATTTTTCTATATTGTACATTACAGTGAGACTTTGTAATAGGTTCTGTGAAGGTAGAAAAATCCAACCAAATTACTATCAGGTAAAATTCTGTGTATTCTAATCTTCTCATATATTTCCAAATTTGTATTCATTTCCCATTTGTTATTCCTGTAACTAAGTAATATTCATCATAATTTCTTAATGTAAAAAAAAAAATAATTTAATAAGTTTGCTTATATAGTAATTTTTTTTTCAGCACCCAGAGTTCAAGTTTCTATTGAAAGACAGAGTGTGTGCTCTGGTTATTAAGTTGTTCTCTCCAAACATCAAGTACCGAGCCTCAGTGCCTGCCAGCGTTCAGCAGGCAACACCCCTGGACAAGCCATATTTTCCCATTGCCATGAGGCTACTCAGAGTTGTGTCAGTTTTGATACAAAAGTATTATCCTCTATTGGTAAGTCTATGGTACATTTCTGCAATATTCATTACTCAGATTATTATATTGCTTATCAAAAGCTATTCTTTTAAATGGCCATTCTCTGTGTAATTTCATCATTGCATTTGGGTGGAAATTTATGTAATTCAGTAAGTTAGGGCAGTTATGTGATGCACCGTATTGGTTATTCTAATGGCTTTATTTTTGGTAGCAGCTGTTGTTAGATGAGACATATTAATTATAATTTATTTGTATTACTGTGCACTATTATTAAATGGATTCCTTCAAATGCTCTTGGTATTTGAGTTCAGTTATCTTAAGAAATTCTACTAGTATTTTAATTTGTCTAATTACAGTAAAAGTTTATGATGTATCTTCATATTGTAGCAATCGCTTTGACTGAGCAGTGGAATTATCCTGGAGCTACACAAAGAAATCATAATGGTGTGATATATCAATAAGCAAATCATTTGGAGCAATTACCCATAGGCTAGAGTGTAGGCAGGCTATTTGTAAAACCTGGTTGTGGCACCAGATACGGTCTCCAGATTCTCACAGTGAACTCGGTAGAGTTCCAGGTTGAATAACTTTTGTCCTAGTGTGACCAAAAGTTCCTCTTTTTGCCATATCAGTTTGTATCTGAAATCTCAGTGCTCTCCATGTTCATGGGTTATCAAATGTGTTGGCGACCAATTTCTTCCAATTTCGTCTCTTCTGGCTGATTGAAAGGTAGTGTCGCCATCCTGTGGATATGACACTCATTCATCCTACTTCTGGTAGACCTCTTTGTATCCAAATGAAATCATAAACTTCCTATTTACAAAGTACGGCTCTCTCCATGTTTGTAATCGAGCAATCACTTTATTCATAAATGTCTGATTTGTACATTCATAGTTGGGGACATTCATAGTACTGTACATTCATTGTATGCATATATAGTTGGGTCTGTTTACTAAGATTTATAGTGAATTATTTACTTAATAGAAAGTAATAACAACTGCATAACATGAAATATCTGATGATGAGAATTCAGTTCAGAGAACTGATATAAATTAAGCATTCACTGAATTTATATAAAAAAAAGGTTTCACACCTTCAGCTCTCTGTCAACAGATTCTAGGGCTATCCTGGATCAAAATCACTTCCAACTATGACTGAAGCTGTTTGTATGATCAGATCATACAAATAAAGAGAGAGAGAGATATAAAACTCCCTCTCCATCCACACTTGCTCTTTAAGACATTCATAGACCTCAATGTCGAGTCCTTTCTATTTGTCTGCAATGATTTATTTTCTGTGCTGGCATGTTCCTACCATGTAGTAATGATCCAGTTTAGCTGGGTTTAATTTAAAAAAGAAATTGCAATATTGTACCTTATAATTTATTGAGTTCATTTATAAATTTATATTTTTGTAAACATTTTCAGGTCACTCAGTGTGAAATATTTTTGTCATTGATGGTGAAATTCCTAGATGGAGATCGACCAATGTGGCAACGTGGCCTTGCCTTAGAGGTGCTACACAAGCTGGCTACTCAGCCTAACCTGCTGCAGTCCTTTTGTACCAATTATGATATGAAGCCACATGCTACCAAAATATTTCAGGTATGCTGTATCATGCATATTGTTCATGCTGCAATACTGATGATCATTTGTTGTTTGTACGTCAACATTTTTGTGACGACACTCAAAACGTACTCGTTGTCAATTTCTTTCAGGATATAGTTAACAGCTTGGGTGCATTTGTGCAGTCACTCTTCATCTCACCGCAATCAAGTGCCGGTGCTCAGCTGGGAGGAGGAGGCCAGGGAGGAGCACAGGGTCAGTCTCCAGCACTGTTGGCTGGGATGCCTGTAGGTCCAGGTGTTTCCCCTCAGCCAGCATTCTTCTACAGGGGGGTTTACCTTCCATTGTGTGTTAACATTCCCACAGGACAGGCAAAATCTTCATAGTAAGTTTAACATTCATTTCTCTCTTTGAATTCTGTTGAAATTAAATTGTATTTAATTTTATGCTGATATTGGCACTTTCATATGAATGTTAATCTGTATGCAAATTATAACGTATGCTGTTTCATATATTGTGGAGTGATATTACTTCTCACTCGTTATTGAAGGATTGGTTTGCAGTGTTATAAATGTTACTTTCATATAGCTTGGCTTATTTGCTAAAATTTTCCATTTATTGCAGTGTTTTACTTGGTAGTGGGATGTTTTTCCATTTGTTGGGGATTTTGCACATTAATAACCTTTATAATGATTTATATGATTGGCTTTAAATTCTAAGACAACTTAAAACTTATTTATCACGTGTTTCCTTCACAGTTTAGAAATGCTAGACAAACTGGAGCCGCCAACGATACCCGATGGCTATGGTGTGAGTGTGGCATACTACTGTCTTCTTGATATCATTCGTTCTATCCACTTGGTTATGATGGGTCCACAAGCTACTAGTGATGGTGTAGCAGGTAAAGTTGACTGGAAATTTGTACTATATTATTGCATAATGTCAACAATTGCAATATAAAATACTGTACAACTATTGCTCTCTGAGCCTCCCCTTTTATAAATAATTTATTCTGGTAATGGAATGTATCAATTCTCTAGTGTAAGGGTACGTGCGCATTTCTCGCCCATTCTTACTGTCTACACGCACAAGACAATGTTACAGTCTTTATGAGGGGGTCGAATCTGCCTCTGAGGTACCAGTTAATGCACTCAAATCTGCACATAAATAATTGATTAATGTAAATTCTAAATCTATATCTTGAGTATACAGTTTATAATTTGAGATATTATACTTTTGTTATACTTACATGTTATGCAGGCGATGAGTCACAATAACGTGGCTAAAGAAAGTTGACCAGACCACACACTAGAAGGTGAAGGGACGACGACATTTCGGTCCGTCCTGGACCATTCTCAAGTGGTCCAGGAGACTTGAGAATGGTCCAGGACGGACCGAAACGTCGTCGTCCCTTCACCTTCTAGTCTGTGGTCTGGTCAACTTACATGTTATAATTATGACTTTCTTTTAGGTAAAGAATTTAATGTCAATTTGTGTAAACTAGCCCCAACTATAAATATACACACATTTATGAATAAAGTGCTTCAATTTCAATTCAATTTGAATAATAAAAATCTTATAATACAGTGAATGAGGCATACCTTGATGAGAGAACTTGTCCTTCTCACTTTTAAATTCATAGCTAACACAAAAAGACTAGTTTAAATGATAGCCTGGAATTAAACATTTTATTTAATAGCCTTAAGATTTAAATTTATAAAAAGTTTTCTTTTATATTTGACTTTACTGGACTTGATAAAATTGAATAACTTCTAAATTCTGTACTAGGATTGTCTGGCAGAACCGTTCCTGATTCTGTATAGTCCTGTTCATGGGAAGAGCAGAACCTTGTCTAATTAAGCACTGAGTGACTTTCTCTTGAAGGAGTTTTTCATCTGCACTCCTTAGCCTTATTTTCATGAACAAACCATTACTTGACTTTGTTCTTTTAAATGTAGGAGCGGGTGAACAGTACAATCCTAACGATGAGGACCGCAAGATCCATGAACAACTAGTGAACTCTGCATGGTGTGGCCTGCTAGCTGCTCTCACTATCCTGTTAGAAGCTTGTACTGATGAAGCTGCAACAGAGAATATTCTTAAAGCTATACAGGTTTGTTTAAGTTTCAGTTAAAGCAATAAATTGAGAAGCATTATATTTTAATTTAATATATTTGATTCATACTTCTCGTCTTGGGAAATGGAGTAATGAAGATGATATTGTTTATAGGTGGCCATCAAAGCAGTGGACAGTATTTAAGTACCTATTAGAGTACAGCAGCAATATGGTGTAATGAACTAATGAACTTGAGGTTACCTTGAGGTGCTTCCGGGGCTTAGCATCCTTGCGACCCGGTCGTCGACCAGGTCTCTCGGTTGCTAGAATGATCAACCAGGCTATTGGACGCAGCTGCTCGCAGCCTGACGTATGAGTCACAGCCTGGTTGATCAGGTATATGTATCACATATGGTGCAGATGTGATACATTATTCCAGAATATTCCTTCCCCTCCAAAACCCTCCCAGGTACAATTTTATTTTGAGGAAAATTTGTAATTATTAATTAACAATTCATTGTGTTGAGAGACAGGCAGCCAGTTTTTATATAAGTACATGTTAGGCCTATATCGAGATCCATCCCATGGTCGAATTATTGATCCTCCCAACCCTACAACAAGCTGACTAACTCCTGGGTACTTATTTACTGCTAGGTGGATAGGGGTATTAGGCGGTAGGAAATGCGCCCAACCATTTCTCTCTCGCCCGGGATTCAAACCTGGAATTCTAGATTGTGAGTCAAGAATGAACCCGACTGTACTACCAGCACTTAAGCTGTAATAACAGCTATTTGTATGTACAGTGTTATGTAAACAATCCACATGAAAATAAAATCGTTAATACAATAAGGATCAAATATTCAAATAAAAATAAGATTTTTTTATACCTGTTCACTTGTGTATAGTAAATCTAAAATATTGTGATGTTCTGTCACATTGTTACCAGATACTTACCTTACCTGGAGATCTATGCTGTGTTTGATCAAGATTGCCTATAAAATGTGTTGGGAAACTGTTATAATTAATAATTTAGTAGATATGATCTCGTGAGTATTATCGGAATAACATTTCTGCCACCTACACTGACTTTCACTGAACAAGAAGAAAAGGCACATGAATAAACACAATTTTAAATTATGATATGCAGGAAATTATGGTATTTCACCATGCCCTCCCTCATCTTCAATCATGATTACTTTTAGTCAAATCTGAATTTGTGAGGGGAGGCAGGAGAGGCTAATATGGTGGGCAGATGGGATTTGTAATATGGAGGTCTGGATTTTTTAGAGAGAACAACTCGATGCCCTATTTTTTTGTATTAATATATATTTCCATAGGTGTTACAATGGTATAAATGTGAAACAAAAATGGAAAGTGAGTGTGTTACAATGGTATAAATGTGAAACAAAAGGTGTTACAATGGTATAAATGTGAAACAAAAGGTGTTACAATGGTATAAATGTGAAACAAAAGGTGTTACAATGGTATAAATGTGAAACAAAAGGTGTTACAATGGTATAAATGTGAAACAAAAACAGAAAATGAGTGTATATATACCAAATCAATCTGTTGCAGTAAGCCACCTTGTTCTGTTGAATCAAACTATATTCAGTAGCCAGTACTTTCCAGCTCACCAAGGGTGTCATTCTGCGGCATTCATAGTTACTTTTACCTCCCTGGCTATTGTTTTCTGAACCAGAATTGTCCTCCTCCTAACACCTCTCATTTCCATGCATGGGAATCTTTTCTCCATATCCTATTCTTCCACCTCATCCTCTGTCCCTTTCTTTTACCTTCCATCAAAGTTAACGTATATATACTTCTAGTATATATACGTTATATACTTCTAGAAGTATATATATATATACACACATATATACTTCTAGTATATAGATACATGTGATTCATATTCATTCACCTTATTTCTTTTAAAATAATTTAAACTATAAAATAACTGTTTAGACTTCTCTACCCCAATAAATAGCTCTTTAATTGTTAACAGACATTTGCAAGCCTGGCAGGAAAGCTTGAGCTGACAACGCCACGTGATGCCTTCATCACTGCCCTGTGCAAATCGTGCCTCCCTCCTCACTACACACTGACAGTACTCAATAATGCCAGTGTAGCAGCTGCAGCATCTGCTTCCTCAGTGTCTCGTGGCCATCAGCGCTCGCCCAGTTCTGAGTCGCAGCATCAGTATTATGACTCGGAGGTGAGCCTCGATGAAACTGTATGTTAGAATATCGCACTGAAGATACGTTTTTAAAGGTTTCAGTAATATCTGTCCTGGGACGATAATGAACTCTATCAAAGGTAAATGGAACATATTATTAATAGGTGTACTCAATGCTGTTAGAATGGTTTACATAGATGTATTTTTATATACTGTTGAACTATTATATCTAACACAGATGTGGCCAAGAGTTGTTAAGCCCAGAAAAGATGCACATTTATCAAGTTTAAGTATTAAACCTTTATTATACAGTAGTAGTATGATCCTCCATTTTATCAGCTTTTGAAATACCATTCTCCTTCCATGAATTAAATGTTTGGGTAAAATTCCACATAGTATCTGGTACCTTTATTGGTGACTTTCACTAGCTCTCTTTAACATATTACATCACTTATGCCCATAGGAATGCCCCTACTTGTGGACACACCGCTTTGAAGTATGTAAACACTCTGTCGTCTGTGGGATATTATAGAAAGCAGTTTTTCAAAGCAAATTGTTTAGCTTGTGGTACATGAATACCAGTTGCTGTTAAACAAACATTAAGTAAATATGTAAAAAGTATGATATTGGAAAAGTTTTGAATTGTTACCTTGCAAAGTTTTTATGCAAAGTTTTTACATGAAATAATTAAATTTTTCCTGGCTATGGTACATTTTTTGATGAATTGTAAGTCCTGTACCTGATACAAATATATTTGTTTATTACATTTAATTGCCCAGTATGTAAAGGTGGCAATTTATTTTTAAATTTTTACCCCATCAGACATGATGATGAGTTATGGATTTGAAATACATAATTTTCAGTACTTTTTTGGAATACTGAATGCTTTAGTAAGTATGAAGACCAGTGTAATGAGCTGTAAAGGGATCTTTTCACTGGCAGGTACGCCATCAAGTTGTAGCGGTGGGGACAGCACTAGCTACACCGTCTCTGCCAGTAGGGGCACAACAGGGCCCGGTGATGCTCACCAACAAGAACCTACAGTGCATGAGAGCAACTCTCTCCATGGCACACTGTCATGGTGGCGTCTTAGGAGCAGCGTGGCACCTGCTGCTTACAACGTTACAGCATCTTGTCTGGATACTTGGCCTCAAACCCTCAACTGGTGGAAGCTTAAAGGTACTAAGACTATATGTTAATACCAGTATTACACCTGTGTGAGGTATTTTACCGTCTGTTTTTTGTTTTGTTTTTTTACCCTTCTATATTAAAATGTTATACTGTAGACTTATTGCTTTTATAATTTATTTAATATAGAAATGTTTGAGTAGTGTTTATAAAAAGGACAAACACTCACAAGTTAATTGTTACAATAATAGAGGCAAATGAAGGTGGCAATTATCAACTCATAATGAAGTCACTTAATACTAGGATGGGTTGAAGGTTAAAGACCAAGATACCTACAGTTGCTCAAGCAAGGTATAACTCAATGCATTTCATGCAAACATTTAAGTTGCTGATCAAGATAAGAAACTGAACCACCACTTATGTGCGGTGTGCAATTTCCTCAAACATGAGGCTACAACTAGCCAAATCCTGTAGAACTGACAACAGGAGATACTTTTCTTACCGAGTTGTAAACCTGATACAGTATGCTCTTTGTGTCAAACTAATGACACTAGCTTTCTTCAGTTTTCATATCTAAGTGTAAAACCTCAGACAAACATGGGAAACCTTTCACAAGCTGTAAGCTTCATGGCAGACTGGTATATCAGGTACTAGTACATATCCTAAATACATAACATATATTGATTTGCATATGATATTAAAAAAAACTTATTAATTTGCATCTATACTAACTTGGCAACTAAATTTAGCTTTACTAAATTTACATAACCTTTATGCTCAGTCTAGGGAAGATTTGGTTATTCAGTATTTAGTGCTATTCTTCATTAATTAAATACAGTACTGTGCAGTATATTAATTTCATGATTTGCAGACTGATTTTCGTGGAGTTAGAGTAAAAGTGAGTACAGCATAAGTTTTCCCTATTTGGCAGTTTTGTTATTGCCGATTAAAGGTTAATAAATTGTACATGCATATACAGTATATAGTATATGTTCATACATATTATATATACATGCATATACATACATACATACATACATTGACGTTACAAAGAATTTTTTCAGTGTCAGAGTAGTTAATAAATGGAATGCACTAGGCAGTGATGTGGTGGAGGCTGACTCCATACACAATTTCAAATGTAGATATGATAGAGCCCAGTAGGCTCAGGAATCTGTACACCAGTTGATTGACCGTTGAGAGGCGGGACCAAAGAGACAAAACTCAATCCCCGCAAGCACAATTAGGTGAGTACATACATTCATTCATACATACATATATATATATATATATATATATATATTATAAGAAAATCTTTGGAGCTAGATAGCAGGATTGAACCAGCATCCCAAGTCACCCCAAATGCGTATCTAGGATGACCCAGGACTCTGGCTCAATCCTGTTGTCCTGTTCCAAAGATTTTTCTCATATCACGTTATTGTGATTTCATTGTGAATATAGAGGTATACTGTACATACATATACTGTATACTGCATATTTTGCTACAGATACTTAATTACCAACTACCTCATTCTTAGTCCATAAAGTCACATTGCCATTAATAGACATTTCCAGTGCTAGATTATACTGTCTGGTAGAGGTCCTTGGTGGCTCCCTGAAGCTATCTCGCTGAGATTGCTCCTGTCTACTAGGTTACATCAGTCGCAGGAGTTCTGTTTTGGACTAACAGGGAACAGAGCCAGAACCTCGCCCCTTCACAGAGGTGCAAATAGCGGGTAATATTTTGCCATCCCACTGGAAAAGGAACCAGAAAGTCAGTGAACCATTACAGACAACTGTAAAGATCACAGGAACCAAAGCCTTGGAAACTGTCAAACAACTCCAACCCCCAAATTCAAGCAAAACAATTGAATCACTCGAGCTTCTGCTAACTCTCCGAAGTAAATTTTGTTGCTAATATGGTGTCTTCAGCACCACTGCAGCACTCCCAGGTTGCCGTTGGTAGTAGTGCCTCTAAGCTAAGTGCCAGCTATCCATGGACTTGGTCCTATGGAGGCCATTTTCTTGTATGTGCTTCACATGTATGTTTCTATCCTGGGGTTCTTGGGCTATCCTGGGGTTCTTGGTGGTCAACACTGTTTTCGAATTGACAGTATGAAGTTGATTATCACTCATTTTGCCTCTTTCTGTCCCTCTGTCATCTTTCTTCAGTATCCGTTCGTGTTGTCGTTTTTGTTGTGGCTGTTTCTTGATTGATGTCTTATACTCAATACTGTTACCTCTCATGTTTGGCATTGGCAGAGCTGCTGTTGGAACTGGTGGGTGTTTTCTTCATCTGTAGCCATTTCCTTCTTTTCAAGTGAAGAGCAAGTTGGCATCCTTCCAAAATGGCTCTTCGGTAATTGATACTTGATTGGGTTGGCCAGGAGTGCATCATTTGTTATATTTGGTTGCAGCTCTTCGTTGCTACCTTCCTTCAGCCTATTCTGCTTGGTGGATGCCTTGTGGATTGATCCTGTTTCCTTGGTGTTCTGTTCCAAAGCTTGCATTTCTAAAGTTGTTTGCAGTGTTGTTAAGTTTAGCCAGCATGCAGTCTAGCCTTGTGCCCATGATGCTCACAAATATTCTGCACTAGCAACAGTATTCTCTACTAAGTCCTGGGTTGATATTCGGGCGTGTGGATTTTGGTTGTCTAACAGTTTTGGTAGTCCAGTATTTGGTCAATGTCACTGGGCCCAGTCATTTGTGTTGCATTGGGTCATGTTTCCTGGACTTGTGCCTCTGCTTTGCCTTAGTACATACTGTCTCTCCTCTTCCCTGTTAAGACCCTTATTTTTCTTGTCTGTGGTTAGTTTCAAGGAGGCACCAAGGGGCTCCTCCAGAAATCAGAAATCTAGCGTTAAATTTAATGAAATACCTCATTCTGGTATTTCATTCTCATTCTCCTGTTCACTAGAGCTTCTGGTAAACACCAGAAGCTAATGTGAACAGAATAAGATCAGCATATTAGCAAACATAGGAATGTCAGTTAAGAATCTAAACAAAGTGGCTTTCAATTTATACACACTGCTTATTTGAGACTATTACTTGAATATGCAGCTCCAGCATGACTCCCACACCTTGTGAAGCATAAACAGAAACTTGAGAAAGTTCAGAGGTTTGCAACTAGATGAGCACCAAAATTAAGCGGCCTCAGTAAGACAAGTTGGATGTCCAGCCATCCCAGCCCAAACCTAACAAGGCCAGACCAGCTAGTCAGATGCATAAACGTTTTACAAATCAAGTTTATGCATTATGGAAGATTTCAATAGTGTGTGAATATATTATATAAATTGGGTGCCTTATTTTTTAAATGAATTACTTAATGTGTGTTCAGCCTAAGTATATGCTGTACAGTTATTCAACTGAGAATGTCAGACCCACAATAGGCTGCTCTTCACAAATTATTGCCACGGTTCATGCTAATTTCTCTCTTCTTTGTATACAAATTGTATCTTCTCATTTTCTTAGCATGGCATTTCTCCTCCTCCCACCCTGTCATTTTGGTTATTAAGCATGACCAAAATATATCTATACTCTCACCAGTCTTGTGCATTATTCAATTTTGCACTCCACATCTTTCCAAGATATTTTAATTCCTTTGTTCTACTAACCCCCACACATAGTGCTTAGATTGTCTATTGTACTGCTTTATTTCTTTGAGTGTTCATGTTCATCCCACACCAGTGTTGTTGACATCTTGAGTAAAGGAAAACCCTACCATTCTTTCATGCTGTCATCCAGCCACATCTTATGCTAGTCACTTTTCTTCCTTGGCTCCTGCTGTTCTCAACATCACTTGCACAAATTCCGTTGTTGTCCGTCACACACTTCTGGTAATTAAACTAATAAATTATTTGTTGCACTTTTTTATTCACACAAATTTCACACAGTTTCCTTCTATATTAATTTTGAATGAGTAGCTCAATACAGTTAAAATACAGTACTAAAAAAACTCTTAACTGCATGCAACAGAATTATGTCTACTTCATACATGCTCATCACTCTGTGGAGTCCCTCTGTATTAACTGTCAAATGCTTTTCAAAGTCCATTGGACTATTTGCACCTTAAGCACTTTCTCAAATGCTTTCACCCCTACAGCACTACAGCAGCTTTCTTAAAGAATATATCTGATTGACACAACCTCTTCTGCCATGGACACTGACCTTATTCATTACAGTACTTGATCAATTTCTCGATAGTGGATGTAGGCCCATTTATTTTTCTGGGGGGAGAGAAGTCTAATAGCTCAAATGAGCTGTCAGCCTTCTTGTCCCATATAATTTGTTCATGTGAGGATATGCTGTACTGTATTTATTGCAATATTGTACTTTATTTTTATTGTACAATATTTTATTTGTATTTGTACAATAAAATATTTAAATATTGTTTATAATTTTTTAAGTAATACAGTGCATACAGTATTGTAATTAAATTAGTCATATTTGATATTTTAGTTAAAATTTCTGACAAATTATCCAGATGCAAAACTGTCAAATTTATCTATAGCTCAATGTCTGGATTGATCTCTTATTGCATAATCTGACTAACTGGATTATTCAACTCTGCATAATTGGGCATTTATTGTACATGGATATACCAGTACAATACAGCAGATCCTAGTAATAGTATTAGAGTTTTGAATTTTGAACTCCTGTACAGCTTTTCATTGCTTAATTTCATTGCATTGTATGCCATGTAATTTCTGCAGGCAGGGCGAAGCACTGCTGAGACGAATGCTGTGATTACAACAGCAGTTATTGCAGATCTACCTGTCCTTTCATCAATGCTCAGTCGTCTATTTGAGTCTTCTCAGCATCTTAATGATGTAGCTCTCCATCACCTCATTGATGCACTCTGTCAACTATCCAGGGAGTCAATGGAGTTGGCTTACACCAACAGAGAGCCATCACTGTTTGCTGTTGCCAAATTGCTTGAAACAGGTAAGCACCTCTTCAATACAAGCCGATTTTGTACTAAATTTGTTGGCGTTACCATTTACAAATTACTTTAGAAACCATAAAACATTCTCAGTGCTTATCTATCAATTTTTACAGGTATTGAAATCTAATTTAATAATACCCGTATTCTAGGTTTTCTGTAGGGGGCCAGACTGTGGCTTTCTGTAGGTAGCTGAACTGAGAAAGCTCCACACAGAGTTACAGTATATAAATATGTTTGCTGATAATGCTTAGCTACTAGAGAAACAAGAGACTTGAATGACTGTTATACCCTACAAGATGACCTGGACTAAATAAGTAAGTGACACATGGCAGATGGAATTCATTGTAAATAAATGCTATATTATGGAATGTGGAATAGAAGAAAATATCCCATATGCAACGTAAAAACACAGTATGTAAAAAGACATTAAAGAGGTCTTACAAAGAAAGAGATCTAAGGATGGTTCTGGATAGTAAACTGTCACCAGAGGACCACATAAAGGACATTGTGTGGAAGGAGTCTGTGCTATGCTTTCCAACTTCAGAATCGCTTTTAAATAATGGACATGAAATACTAAAGAAATCATTCTTGTGTGAGACCAAAATTGAAATTGGCAGAAGTTGTATTGGGCCTCTATCTCAAGAAGCACATCAATAAATTGAAAAGGGTGCAGAGACATGCTAGTAAATTGCTTCTAGAATTTAAAAACAAGAGCTACAAGGAGATGCTATAGGTGTTAAATATGCCAAAGTTAGAAGATGAAATGAAAAATAGGTGATGATATTTACTCTCCATTCAAAATAGTAACAAGAATCAACAAAATAGACAGGAATTTTTGTTTTAAACCTACAACTTCAAGAAGAGGTCACAGACAGATTATGATTCACAATAACATGGCTGAAGATATGATATTTAAACCACACTTCAGAAACTGAAGAAAAACAATGTTTTGATCTATCCTGGACTATCATAAAGTTATGTAATAGAAAGAATGGAAGAGATGATCGATATGACTAAAGATTTATTTTTCTTTCTATTTTTCTAACTTTTTCTTATTTATACCCTTTTTCTTGTTCTTACTCCTTTTCCTTTCCTTTCCTTTACTTTACCTGTTTCTCTTTATTCTTACAGTTTCTCTTTTCTGACCTTTTTCCTCTTATTCTTTTATGTTATTCTTATCTTTCATTCTTTTTCTTCCATCTTATTCTTAGTTTTCATCTTATTCATATCTATATCTTTCACTTTCTTTCATCTCATTCTCTTCCCTCGTAATATTCATCTCTTCTACTGTTTTTCTATTACATGACTTGATAATGGTCCAGGACGGACCTAAACACCATCTTTTCTTAATTTTCCGATGTGTGCTTTGGATATTAAGAGGTCATGGATTCAAGCTAAGGAAACAAAGGTGCCAAAAAATATTAGAAAGTACCTGTACTATGCTCTTTTTCAAACAGAGTGGTAGACATGATCAAGTTGAATGAGAAGGCAGTGGATGCCAAAATCATCACTATTTGCAAAGCGTCATTTGACAGAGTAATGGGAAGACGGTACACCACAAGCATAGCCCTCGTCCTGTGACTACACTTAGGTAATTAAATTTAGCTAATTCCACCTATAAGTTACACGAGTCCTTATCAAAGAGGCAAAGCCTAGGAAAGAAGTGAAGCAAACATCCAGTAGTTAGGTCAAATCCCCTACCTCACCTTCCTCGATGACTGGTTGTCCTCCGGTAGGCCAATAGGGCTCCTATGACTTGCGTGACTCGGTAGTGGGGAAGCAATCTCAGCGATGCAGCTTCCTGAAGTTCTACCAAAGAGAAGCATTTCATTACATTCAATGCTGGTTTTCGAAGTTTTCTGTTATACTGTATTACATTCTTATTATTTATTTTATTTCAGTAGAATTTAAACTTGTTTATCAGGAGATAAAATTTGTATTCAAACTTTTTCAGGTGTGGTCAACTTGGGTCGAGTTGAGGTGTTGTGGAGACCAGTAACCAATCACCTGCTGGATGTATGCCAACACCCACATGTTCGTATGCGGGAGTGGGGTGTAGAAGCGGTTACTTATTTAGTGAAGGCAGCACTTACTCACAAGCACAACCCGCCTCTTAAAGACAATCAGGTTAGAACTTTTAGACAATTTTTCGTGATTGGTAAGTACTCGAGTTTCATCTAAGGTTTTATATAGTCTATGGTATCCAGATAAATTACCCTACCATCAATGGCAGCTCTCAAAAGTTTATGATATGTTAAGTAAACATACAAGTATTGTTCATTATAAATTTTATATCACATATTTGGCATTAAATTTGTTAAAAAAATTCCTTGTTATTATTTCATTTAGGACAATGCACTAGAAAAATTCAAACATTTTGCAATTTTCCAGAAAGGTTTGGTCATTTCACAGGAATCCTTTGCAATATATATTTCCTTAGAAACGTGAACTGTGTCATCCACAAGCTCCTCATTATGGATTGGCCACAGCAGAAGTTTCTCATGGAGGCTTTATTACCACACAAACCTTTCACTCTTCAGCTTGCTGAAACCTGTTGACCAGACCACACACTAGAAGGTGAAGGAACGACGACGTTTCGGTCCGTCCTGGAGCATTCTCAAGTCGATTGTGAATCATCGACTTGAGAATGGTCCAGGACAGACCGAAACGTCGTCGTCCCTTCACCTTCTAGTGTGTGGTCTGGTCAACATACTTTAGCCATGTTATTGTGACTCATCGCTTGTTGAAACCTCTCGACTTTCAAATATTGTTCTGCCCTTCTCTTCTAAGATGCTAGTCATCTGCCTGTTTTGTATGATCACTTTATTTTACCCATGTAGACTTGTTTAAGAAATTCTCATTCATTCTACTAACATGTTCAAACAACTTCATTGTTTGTGCTTCACCTACTAAAATACTTTTTCTTATAAGTATTCAGTCAAGCTGATTTAAAAAAAAAAAAAAAAACTCGGTTTCACTGCTTGTATTCTAGAGCACTCTGCCACTTTCCATACCCATGTTTTACTTTCATGTGTCAGGGCTGGGAATTGTTTACTCTCACTCAGTTCTTCCTTAACTCCCATTCTAATATTCACCTCCTATCACACTTCTCCCACTCATTAGTCTATCTTATTTTACCTTACACACTCCCATTTTTTATCTTTCATTGCCCCCAAATTTTTAAAACTTACTACCTTTTCTAGTACCTCATTCCCTTATCTCAAACACCATAACATTATTAATAAGGTTAGTGTTATTAAGTGAAGATAAAGTATATTACAGTCCATATGACTGCAGTTCTATATTTTCTCATCTACAGAAGTTACAAACCCTGCTGCTCTCACCACTGTCTGAGGTATCACTGGTAGGCCATCCCGATGTGCGTCAAAAGCAGTTGGAGTCTCTCCTACACATTCTCCACTCTTGTGGGGAACTCTTACATCATGGATGGCCTTTAATCCTCAATATTATTGGAGCCATCAATGATAATCACAGGTAAATGCAGGGATTTGTGGTGTGAAGAAACGCATTCTTCATTTGTTACTCTTTTTTTCTAACCATTTAAGAAACTTTGGGCTCACTTTAAACAAACAAACAAATAATTAAAAGTATCCCCTTAGATGATGCTCTTTGGTGGATTGAAACGAGATATTGTTGCTGCCTGAAATGCTATGCATGTTAGTGGTTTTGCAAGAATGTAGAACACCAATGTTATGTACTCACACAAACTCAGTGTACCGTCTTGTATATAAATAAATAAATTAATAAGTAGATATATAGGAGAGAGCTGTTGTAGTATTGCACAAGTATTAAATGTTTGAGATATTGTGTGCTGAAATGTTTGAATGGTGGAGCCGTGCAGGATAATAAAAAGCTGAAAATCATTAAACTGTGGTTTAATGTCCATAGTTTTTGTATATTTTCAGTGAACATCTGGTTCGGCTAGCCTTCCAGTGCTTGCAGCTGGTCGTCACTGACTTCTTACCACTTATGCCATGGGCATGCCTGCCTCTTACTGTTGATACAGCAGCCAAGTTTGGCTCACAGACTCAAGAACTAAACATCTCACTCACTGCTATTGGTCTTATGGTGAGTTTATTTTATAAATTGTTTAGGTAAAAAATAATCTTAGAAGGGAAAACAGTTGGAAAATTTATATTTGCAGCATTTTAAGTTCTTAGGTATAAGTGAACAGAGATGGGTTGCTGAATATTATTTGAAGAAATAAAAAGTTTATACTAGGTAATAAGACTTGGTATGAAGTTGAGTTTATGCTATAATCTTATGGTTATGATGATTTTCAATATCTTTATGCATAAGAATAAGGGCCTGTAATGATAGGTAATTACACACATTGTTCAGTTGGAGGACGTTATGTTCAAGGTACTGTATAAGCCCTTGTGGGCAGCATTACTGAAACATGGTTCCTGCCTTAGGACTGAATTTTTCCAACTTATTAAAATAATGTTTGTATTTGATGGAGTTGTTGTAGGTAACATACAATATTCACAGAATATATAAAAAAAAAAAAATAGTTTCGTAAATATTCACTTGCCTAAAATTTGTATTTAGCTGCAAGCTAATTCCCTGTTTGCAAGAGTTATTAAATATATAATAAACAGTTAACATTTTTCTAGATGTAGTTATTTTCTGTGGCTTTCTGAAGCTATCTTACTGAAATGGCTTCCCACTACTTGGTCACATCAGTCATAGGAGTCTTGTTTGGCCTACCAGGGACCAGAGCCGGAACCTAGCCCTCTTAGAGAGGTGCAAGAAGCTGGGGACTATTACAGTCACCAATACTGGGAAAATATCCAGAAACTCAGCAAAGTTATACAGACAACTGTAAGGATCATAGAAAATGAGGCATTGAAACAACCAAACAACTTTGCAAATGGTTCATTACAAATAATTGATTCACTCAACATTAGCTCAAACTCCTTAGTACAGACTGCTGCTACTAGGTAGCCTGGAGCTTCCAGGCAGCAGCTGAATACAGGTCAGTCCCGTTGCTGATGTCGAGTGCCACTGCTTCTCGGCTAAGTGCTGGCCATCCTTCAGACTTTGTCATGTGGAGGCCATTTGCTTGTTTATCGTTCTATTCTTTTAGTATTTGATTCATGTGTGTGTGTTTATTTCCCAGTAGTTTTGCATGGGCTTGGCATATTTTTCTCTTTGAACTATACTGTATGTGCTTTGGTGACCCTTTCCTGGGCACTCATTTAGCATTGCACCTGCACTGTCAGAGATACTTATCTGGTGTTTTCAGGTGTCTAGGTGTCTTTGACTAGGCCTCTGAGAGGCCTAGTCACTGGGATGAAGAGCCTTGCCTTGGGCTGTGCATGAGTTGTTGACTCCTCTGTGTAGGCACCTTGGCTGGGATGTCCTAACTGGTTTTGAGTGGTGTGTGCTAGGGTACATGCACGCTCGTTTCTGTGACACGCTGTGTACACATTTTGTTGCCATGTTGTATTAGCATACATTCGGTGTCTGTTTTTTCAGCGAGCATCCCTAGTGCAGGCATGTACTATTTGGCTAGTTACCTTCAGATTCTGGTACTTTCCTTGTGAGTCTATGGTATGGCTTGTTATTGGTGAACCCTTTGACAGACATTGTCTTCCTCCACCATGATGCCTGTTGGGTTGGTGACACCTTCGACCTGGAGTCTTGCAATGCATGTGTGCGATGGATCACCATTTTGTCTAAGCCTGCTTTATGATAGGACACTTAAAATGCAGCGGCCACTTTACAGGCTCGCTTTTCTCATATTCATAATTCATGGAAGGGAGTTAGTTTGGATGTCCCTGAGTTGGCCCCTTGTGGTGTTTAGGGATCCAGAATTGGAGGTGTTGGTGTAATCCACCTGGACTAAGTTTGCACCTCCTCTTCCTTTCCCTGTTGGTGTGGTTCACTTTGCATTTGACCTTCCCCTGGTTCTGGTCTGAAGCAGCCAAAGTGCTTTATTTTGCATCAAAGAGATTCCCACAACCAATGTGAAGCAAGACCTGGCAGAGCAAGTCTGAAGAGGGACCACCCTACCAGAAGAACCCTTACTCATCTGTGCTCCCAGTCCCTGTAAGCTTGCTCTCGTGTTTGCTGGATTCCAACAGCTTTGTAGCATATCTGCCATATGTACATTGGTGAAGTTGCATTCAATTGCAGTCAGGAAAATCAATATTTCCACACTGGTTCCTAGTAGGCAATATGGATTCCTAGGGATGATGTGACTCGTGTGTGATGCTATCTCAGGGAGCTATCTTCATGAAGCCACTAAAGCCTAACCAGAAAGAGGCATTTCATTACATTCAATGCTGTTTTTTTCTTTTTCAGTGGAACATCTCAGACTATTTCTACCAGAACCAGGAAAAGCTTCGGGCCTCCCTAACGTCAGATAACCAAGTATTTCCAGATTTTCCAGGAGTCCCTAATATGCCTCCTTTTGACAAACTATGGATGTGCCTTTATGCTAGACTTGGTATGTGGATTATACTGTGCAATTTAGTCATGTTTATTTTTGTATTTATTTTGCACTTGCACATTATTTAAAGTCATATTGATTCTATGAGAGAGTTGCTTCATTACTTTGGTCTTCCCTTTGGTTTCATAGATTTGGGTGTATCTTGAGGTTATCTTGAGATGATTTCGGGGCTTTAGTGTCCCCGCGGCCCGGTCCTCGACCAGGCCTCCACCCCCAGGAAGCAGCCCTAATATGTAGCTAATATGTTTGGATTTCTGGCATATGTGGATCAAGTCTGGAACTACATTATATAGTTTAGGCTTTAGAGAAGCCTAAAGAGAAGCCTTTTCCATATTGTTATTCCAGAATATAGTGAAACAAAAAACTGTATTTTGATGGAAATAAAAATATAGAGTAAGTATCTTTCTGCAGGTGATTTGTGTGTGGATTCTAGACCTGCAGTTCGCAAGTCAGCTGGCCAGACACTCTTCTCCACCATCGCTGCTCATGGTGCATTACTTCATAATCAGACTTGGCAAGCAGTCTTGTGGCAGGTGAGGACATGAAAAGTTCATATAATTTATATCATTGTAATATATTTCCTACTACCTTGTTCCTTTAGGAGTTCTTATTTTCTGAACACACGTATTCAGTTTCTAAGTTAAGAATCCACTGTGTTAAGAACCAGATTCATGAACAGTCAGGGTGCAGGATAAGTCTGTTTAAGTATGAATGGGAGCGGCCTCACATGAGCCAATAGGCCCTCTGCAGTTTCCTTTATTCTTATGGTCTAATAAGGAAATAAGTACTTCTCTTATTAGGACTCAGAGTGGTGACAGAAATTAACTACAATACTTAGTTAAGTCGTTGCAGTGTTCTGTTTGGCAATTTGAGTATTGCCAGTATTGTATTGTACATTAAATGACATTTAATTGTAGTAATAGTTTACTGCAACTGGAAGATTAAGGCATTTAGGTAGAATATACGTTTAGGTTTCACTGAATATCTTCTACCCTCATTTTCTGTAAAATTTTCCATCCTTTTCAGGCAAATGCTGTTCCTTCTAATGAAGGTGGGAAACAAGGTATTAGTGATGATAACTTTTTTTTTTTATCTGTCCCAAGGTGCTGTTTCCTTTGCTGGATAAGGTGAGACAGCTGTCAGATTCTGCAAGCACAGATAAAGTAGACCAAGGCGGCAATATTCTTATTCATCACTCACGCAACACACAGCAGAAGCAGTGGGCTGAAACACAGGTACAATGTGCGGTTTGTATAGTGATGAAGGTGGTGTCAGTGAGCTATGTTTTAAAATAATTTGCTTCTTTCTGACTGCTGTTCCTTTTATTTTTATTTTCTTCACTTACATTTCTGTATGTTTTGTTTTCATTATATTTGTTTTCTTCACCTGATTTGTTAGTGTGAGCAAATAGCAACTACTACACTTGCATGGGAGTGAAACCATTTTATATATTTCTTTAGTACATATTTCATGCTTTCTTTAAAAGATTTTAGTATGTTAAAGTCACCATGATGTATGAGGAAGATATACTATTTGAGCCCACTCTTTTCATAAAGAGGGAGTCCATAGAGGAACAAAATATCAATGAATATGAAGTGATATACCTTATAACTTAGTTGATCTAAATTTGGTTAAAAAAATGGTTTGAGTAGTGAAGATGCATTTCCTTACAGGTACTAACACTGTCAGGTGTTGCTCGGGTCTTTAGTACAAAGCAGAAGATCCTCCAAGGCTTGGGTGACTTTCCACGAGCCTGGGCATTACTTCTTGATTTCATTCACACTGCTGCTCTCTCCAAAAGCAATGAGGTTAGTAGATTCTCGTAATTTGAGTATTCTATTCTTTTTGATGATGCAGTAGTTTAGGAATATTTTTAACTTACCTGGAAGAAAACCAAGCTAGTTTATTTTATGACCATACATCTGCCATACAACATGATGAGCAGTTCAACTATCCTTTAATATTATTGGACTTATGCAGACGCATTACCTATGCATAACATTCCCCAAGTTACATTACCTATGACTTCTTAAAAAGCTACTTTAGTGGCCTAGTGATCTAAGAACTACTACAGTATACAGTACTATATCTTTTATGAATAATATCACTTGATTGCTCACCTTGGCAATGTTCTGCTCTCCCCAAGAACAGAATAAAACACAATCAGGCAGGTCACTATTTCACTCCGGTACAGTGATGATCTTTTCAAATGTTCCTGCTGGGTCATTCTGGGACATGAGTGACACTGGAGAAGTCTCTATCCACCCAGGAATGACCTTTATATGAATGTGATTTCATTCATTTTGCTCTACAAGCCATCTCCAAGCAGTGCACTACTCATCTTCCAGAGACTGCCAAGAAGTGCTTTGCTTGCTGATAGTAGCCCACCTGACTGCTACCCTCAGACACCACCACATTATTAGTTGTCTGGGTCTTCCTGAAGATGGCAAATGCCCATCCTCAGCTCTACTGTACCATAGTACAGTAGGACAGTACACTACTGTACTTGTAAATTTGTCATGTAAATATAATTATGCAGAATTTTCTCATAGAGTAAAATGTTGAAGGAATATAAATCATTGCATTTTTTCTTCTTTAGGTATCATTAGCAGCTCTCAAGTCTCTACAAGAAATGCTTCAAGTTGGAAGGTCTTCTTCATCCGTCTCTTCTAACTCCGAGGATCTCGGCTCTCCAACCCACTTACAGGCACCAATTCCAGAAGATTCTATTGCTAACTGGAACACTGCATGGAAGGTATATTTGAGTGTACAGTCCACCCCCTAATACTGGGATTAATTTATCCTGTGGGATTAATTTATCCTGTGTCTGTCTTGCATAAGTGTGAATTTTGGTTTATGGAAATGTTTATTTCGGTTGTTTCCTCAGTGGGTTTTTCACAATTAAAAATTAATATACAATTCATTAAGACTAATTCCTAATTCAAATAATAGCTCAGATAATAAAAAAATGTACATTATTTTAAATCTGAAAAAATTTCAAGAAAATATATTGTATTCGTCAGTATGAAAGGTTTTGATTATCTGATGAAGTTCAAGAACATTGCTGATGGTGTACATTTGTTTAGATGATATATGGGGTGGATGCCAATGAAGTCAATTTGTGATGTGAATTTAGTGAAGTTGATTGTTGCGCCAGTGTCCTGTGTTCTAGTATACGAAAAGTTACATACATATTGTACATACTCGGCATCTCCTTATTGCTAAAATTACTGGAAGGGTTTCAGAATACTGTACTGTATTTCTGAATTAGGTCTATGGATTCATGTGGCTGTTTCTTTTCCTCTTTATCATCCTCTTTCTCTTCTTCCTTAGATTATCAGGCTGATTATTGTCTGTCACCAAATCTATAATTTCTTCACCAGTCAGGTTTTGAAAAGTGAGGGCATATTTATCAAAAGTCTATGTATTATCCTACTTCAGATTTAAGTGTTTCTGTTACGGTACTAATTTGGCTCTTAGTTCTTGGGGCTGTAAACCCCTGACTTTAGACTCGAGTAACTCTTTGATTCCAAGCCTTTTCATCTTATCATTAAGACACAGACCAGAAGTAGGCCAATGTTTTTTCAGAGTATGTCTCAACATCATTAGATTTATTTTGTCTCATAATTAAGCAAGAGTTCAGATATAGCTGGCAGGATTACATAGACTTAAAAAGTCATTAATTACTCCTGGCTGATAATTGAGACATCTGGCAATGTTGATTCTATAGTGATAAGAGGTTTTTAATTATACCCTCATCTATGGGTATGACCAAAAGTGTATTAGGAAGTAAGAATGCAGCAAAGCTATTGCCATTTCTGAGCTGCGGCCCTAGTGGAAGTGTTGGGCTATTATCTAGCAGGACTTTACTGTTTTGTGGGTGCCAACACTTTTAACCCTTGGGCAGCAGCTATGGAAAATAGTCATACCTGCCTATGCGCCAAAAAATATACAAATTCCTTAAAATTCGCTGCCTTTGTGGTGTTCTTGCTCATATCTTGAAAGATGATTAGAGTACAAGGTTTCTGGAGAATCAAACACATGTTTGTGGAAAGACACCTTCCCTAGATCATCTGATGAAGTTCAAGAACATTGCAGGACTTATTGCTTGAGAACATTATTACATTCTTATTCTTATTACAAGAACATTGCTTGGGCCATGGCTTTGTAGCTCTAGGCAGACTTTCCTCCCACTGAACATTGCTTGGGCCATGACTTTGTAGCTCTAGGCAGACTTTCCTCCCATTGAGTCTTTCCTCCTTGATGATAAAGGCTGTGTTGGTGCCCTCACTACCAGATTCTTCTTTGTCAGAGGTGTGTTCACTCTTCAGTGTCTCAAGCTCCACCCCTGCAGCACAGGCACGTTGTTACATTTTAGATGATTTCATAAGGGAGCAACCAAATGCAATATCTCAGAAATAAGGCTTTAATTTGATATAAATGTTATTTTTTGAGAAGAATAATTCAGTTGATTTTTATTTCTCCTTTCCTGCTCCTGTTTCCCTATTTCCAGAGTTAGTTATTGAATGCTAGTTAATAATTGGGCTGGTTCAGATCGTTGAATCCAGGATGTGGGCAGCTTATCTGGTAGTTAGTGAGAGGGCCTTTAGTGGCAGTCATTTATTTGCTATAGCATTCCCACTGATATTATTAGGCTTAAATATTAATTGTACTTGCAGGTTTGGCACACTATTGGCAGTGAAGTGACAAAGCCACCTCCTGATGAAGTAACAAGAGGATCAGATGCATATATCCCTTCACAACCTTTCCTCACTGCCTTGGTGCACATTTTTCCACATCTATTCCTACATATCAAGCCACGGTAAGCATATTATTATACATGTTATTATGCAATGAAAACCAGATCTCGATTTTTTTTTTTAATTCTGGATCACCACAAGCTAGCCACAAGGTATGATGCCTTAAAAAATTGGTGTCTTAACTGTTGAGCTAAGAAAATATATTTAGTAATATGTTTGATTAGCTTTTATCATTTTTACAAAAATTCTTCGTAATAAAAATGTACTTTTCTTATTCTTTTCTACTAATTTCAAGAAATTTCAAGGACAAGAAGTCACCACACTCTTTCATCCCAACTCTGTCTCCCATAATTATGTGCAGTGTGGGGGACATCTCTCCTCCTAGTTTTCTTTCCACTGTGAAGTATGTTCTAGTCCTGGGTTTTTGCACCACTGGATGGAGATCCCTTCCCCTTCCCCTTCCTTTTCTGCATCTTGGGATCAGTTTTACTGTACACCTGCATTCATAAGTCTCACCCTCACTCAAAGACCCTTTTGTCTTTGTTTTATTGTTTTAAGCTAGGCTTTCTTGGGTGGATCTTGCCAAAGGAAACGTATAACATTGACAGGAAAAGAGTTTTTCGTGTACATCCACGGCTGTATGTTTTAATGACCATACTGTACCTAATAGCTGTATATGATTACTGACTGTATTTTATTTCATATATTTCAGCTTTGTTGTTAGTGATTTCAATCGCTTGGCATCTGTTTTGTTGGGTTGTGTATCAGTGCCTGTTCATGGAGACTCATCACCCTTCATCCTTCCGTCCTTTACTGAAGTTGTTGTAACCCCTTTGCAAGAGGGCATTTTACAAGCCCTATCAGGAGTGGAAAAGGAGGTATGTGCTCTATAGACTTTTAATGTTAATCAGAAATTAATATTTCTGTCTAATGTGTATATTTCTGAGATCTTCCTCCTCCCAAGATTTCTTCCAATGACGTTTATATTTTGAGGTAATTTTATTTTTATTTTTGAAGAATTTGTCATGTTTCAATAACAGAAGTAATAAATACCATGCATGACTACTTGGGTAAGGATTTCATCTGTATTATTCCCATTAAAGCTTTGGCTCACACATACTGTACTTTGTTTTAATCGTGCATTTAAAGTTAGAATATTTGCAGAATATTTGTAACTTTCAACAGTAAATATGACACAGCTGTTCACACTAATTAGATTTTTTTGTTATAATTTTAACTCCTCATTTAATTGACCGAATCTTTAAACAAATGCAATGGTTTACATTAGTGTCATGTGAATTGTGTATCATGAAAATCAAAACTCAAATGATGGAAAGAGATGATCATCTGTGAAGCATGTGTGGTGGTGGGTAAATAGATGGAGTAAGGAATTAAAATATCACGGAGAAGTATGTATTATAAAGAGAGTGGGAGACTGGATCTCCAGTGACCTGAGCCGCCACCAGTGGTGGTCAAGTGCATCATGGTTAGGGTGTTTCCATGGTGGCAACGATCATTTGCCTCATTACCTTGGGTTACCTTACTTTCTTCAAACACTTGCTTGTTTTGTTGCACTTAGGCTTTCTGGTGTTTTTTCTCAGTTATGGGGCTGATATCAGATCCCCAAGCTGCCCTTGTCGCATTAAGAGAGTTAGATTCTGGACTGGGTTCTCAGAAGGCAAGGCGTAGTCTCAGAGCCCTGGTGCAACTTTATAAAGCTTGGCTGCACCAGTAATTAGCTTGGGTAGCTACTAAGGTAGCTACATCATGAAACACCACTTCATTATGTTCAGTGCTTGAGTTTTTTCTAGGTTCGTGCCTCTCTCCACAAAACTGGGAAATGGGATAATGATAATGAATTAAAGTGTTATGTAATAATGAAATCAACTTGACTAATTTAAGACTATTGCTGATGTTATGACTATAATGGCATTATATTATATTGTCATTATTTACTAAGGAATTACTTTCTATTTTTAAGATAACGGAAGGGAATGGTGCATCACGAGCAATGGTTCCACAGCTGTTCACACTTCTCCTACAGTTTTCATTGTACAGTTGCCAGGCTCCTAGTTATGGCAATGTTCTTACCAGACCTCACACTACTAAAGGATCGGTAAGTGATCATGTTTCTTCTGTTGGTATGGCCTTCATTGTCATTTTTCCCTTTCCCACCCAACGTACACATTGTGATGTTATTATATATCCCCAAACATTTGCGTTGAAAAATATTGTAATGATAAGCTTTGTTGTATACAAAAAGAGCTGAAAGTGTTTATATTTATTGATAACGAAATTTGAATTGGCAATTACAAATATGCTGTATAGTAAATATTTTGTTTATGTACTTCTGTGATCCAATAATTAAGGGACCCTGAGTTAATTTCAAGTCTTTTTTTTATTTTTTCTATATTTTGTGAACAAGAATTATATTGCAGTTTTAGAGTAAAAAATTTGTCACTACATTTTGAGCTTTATGTGAAAGAAATACTTCTGGATGTTGTCCCTGGACCTCAAGGACACATACTGATATCTCCCTGCTCATCCAATGTTGAGGGATTGGTTAGGGCTTGTTGTGGGGCATCTGGCTTACTGCTTCAAGGTTCTTCTTTTCAGCTTGAATTTGGCTCTCCGGATCTCTGGATCCTTACCGGATTAACACTGGTAAGGATTGTAGCTCAGCTATGTTTGTTGAAGGTTTGTGTTTTGGCTTATCTTGATGACTGACTGGTTTGGGCTTCCAGCCAGTCTGCACGTTTGCAAACCAGGGTTCTTTCCCAGCTTGCCGGGTTCGGGTTCTTGGTATATTGGAGGAAGTCTCCCATTGGTTCTATCCAAGGTTTGGACTTGATTGGACCTAGTTTGGGACTCCCAGTCAGCTTCCCTTTCCCTGGTTCTAGCAGCAGCATCTCTGTCTGGTGTTGGACCAGACCAGGATTACTTGACTGTTGTGTGGAGCCGATTTTTTACTTTTTGTGTGGTTGGGATTTTGTGACCAGTACGAGTCCTCCATATTTTCAGTCTTGTAAACAGAATTTTTCAAATAGAAACGTATATTGACTGTGTTCAAATTCCAGACTGACTGGGTAACCATGAACTTTGTGCCCTTCGCTGAAAGATCAATGTCTATGGTGGTATCGCTCTATCAGAAAACCTCCAACTGGCCGGAAGTTATAGAGTCACAAGTTCTGAAGAATATTATTCAGGTGAGATTATATGCAAGTGGATTTTTGTTTAATTTGGCAGAGAAAAACATGATGCTGTAATATAATATTGGAATCTCATTATTACTACAGACTATAACTTTTAATAATTCTGGTATATATATATATATGAAAGAATCAATGCTCATTTTACATTTCAAGTACTACAAGTATAAAATATTCACATAATATTCAACTGTTTTCTTTGACAACATTATCGGAACCCAAAATTATATTGAGTATTTTCTGCATAATTTTTAATTTAAGTATTTTAAATACAGCACAGCATTGCTAAATAATTGTTAATCTTAGGCCAGCATAACGCCTCTACGCCTCAAGTATCGGTGTCCGGCTCAAACAACGTGGAAGCTCGTCATCACAACCCTGTTGACAGTGCTACAAGAGGGACTTCAACTGGCCAGAGAATATCCTGTGCACTTTAGAGAGATGTGGCCAGTTTTAGGAACAGCTCTTGACAGTTTTCTTTTCTCAAACAGGTATATTTTGACCTACTGTTTGTGAAATCAATAAAACCTGATCTGCCTTTATTGACTGTTTAGATTATTGATGGAATAGGTGCCTTGGTTGCCCTTGGAAGCATTATGATGTGAAAATTAAAAGCTGGCTTATGCAGACGATGAGTCACAATAACGTGGTTGAAGATATGATGACCAAACCACACATCAGAAGATGAAGAAATTATGACTTCCCGTCCATCCTAGGCCATTATCAAGTCATGTGTAGAGTGATAAGCTGGCTTATCACTCTTTTTCTTCCTTGGCTGCACTCACACTACAGTGCCTCTTGGAGGTCTGCTCATTGTTCTCCATCTGCACAATTTTATAGGAATTTAAAGATGTGTTCAGTTTAAGAAATGTGATATGCTATTTTGTATTTAGAATGATAACTAACCTTTGATTCCAATGATCCCACTTCTGTTATGTATTGCTCTGTAATTTTTTCTGTGCCCTAACAACAGCCCTGAAACATTTAACCAGGTCTTTTCTGAATCTAAATGTTTGCAATTTGTATCCTTTATTTTGTGTTCTATTTTGTGTTGATACTTTTAACACCATATTAATATCTCCTTTGTTATGCCTTATCATCCATTTTTATACTTCAATCTTGTCACTCTTTACTCTTCACCATTTTAGTGAATGTAAGGCTTTCTTACATTCTCCTCATCAGGGAGGTTTCAAACTTTACCTTTCTCTGTACACATCCAGGGAAATATGTCCATTCCAAATAAATTGATAATTAATGTAGCATTACAATATTAATTGTTTCATTAAGTGCAGATTCATTTTTGCAAAGATATGAAAAAATAAACAACACTGTACAATTTTAAGTATATAAATATAACTGCAAAATTATTTGGTGTTGGGCTGATTATAATATAACTTGAAATAAGTTGCTGCCATAATATTCTTACACTATTATATTATGTGTAAAGTACAGTTGTCTTTTGTTATACCCACCAGCCCCCCACCAGCAAACCAGAGCAGTGAAGATGCTGAGCGCGATGAAAATATTGACTGTCAGGTAGTAGAGTTGATTAGAGAAGAAATCCTGCCTTATGCCTCCACCACACCTAGTGACTTTATAGTGTCCATTATGGTGCTTCTAAATAAAGGCTCCATAGAGTCTGCATCTGGTAGTGACTCTGGTAAGTGGTACAATCAAGAACGTTATGAGCTAAAACCCCCTCAGATGCTCATATAGCTAGATCCTTTATGTTCTAAGCAGGACTGAAAATTCTTGAGAGCCTAGCGGGTATTAGATCTCCAGTATGAGAAATTTTTGCATATGGTCATGTCATGTGTTTAGAGAAGGGAAAGGGGGTAAAATTAACTTGAGAGAACCGGCTTACTAGTGGGCACTTGGACATAGAGCTGCTGCACCCCAACCTTGTGGGAAAGGGTCGGAGCAAACAGGGCATTATTGACGGCCACAGTGGAAGATCCCTGATTGCTCCTCGTTGATCCTCATATGACCATGCAGGAACATTTTTAAAACATCCTTTTAGTTCCATTTTTGTGTGTCATTCCTGCTTGATTGTGCATGATCCTTAACATAATGTAGTGGATCATGTACTTCAGAGAGCAGCAGAATATGCTCACACGTGTGCTTTTCATAAAATAAAATCCAAATATATCATTCATTTTAGTGTCTCAATGTATCATTCCTTATCAGCCATATTGAGATGCTGTACAGAGTTGAATTATTATTATGATGGTGCAAAAATCATTTCCAGTATTTTCACCTATTACCAAAGTGGCATGAAAAAACAGAGCACGACATGTGACAACATTATTCAGGGATACTGAAGGTGAATATGTAGTTGACATGTTAATGCTAGTCTGTTTGTTTCATTGGATATTGTTGATTGAAAAATTACAGTAATAAATAATTGTAGGTTATTCTAAACAAAACATACCATACTGTACAGTAATTTATTGGGTACTTATGTGAAAGTGGAAAATTGCATTAAAAAATTGCTGTTCATAATTCATATAACATAAAAATTAATGATAAAACCATTATTTTGACCATGTTTTGACATTTTAGTAGAAATGCTTATTACTGATTTTATATTTGTAAAACATTCTTTAAAATTTAAAATTTTTTATAATTTTGTATGTAATTCAGCTGAAAATGAATCACTTCTGACCAAAATTTATAAATTTGTTTACAGAGTGTGAGGGATTCAAGCTGCGGGAAGAGTTTGCAAAGACATGTTTTGAGACTCTACTTCAATTTTCCCTTCTCACTCCAACTGACTTCGATCCCAGCCTTGATGGTTCAGGTATGTAGTTAATTGGAATACTTCTAAACTTCTTACTATGGCTTTAGTTTCAAAAGCCTGACTTAGGTTTATATATAGCCCAGTTTAACATTTAAATAGTGCCTTATACAGATGAATAGTGTGGTTTCCTGACAACTCCATTTTAAAGCAAAATATAGCAGGTAATAAACATACATTGAATGTGCATTGGCATTAATGATAATTTCAAGAATTTACTTTGAATAATAAATGAGTGATACAATTCTACATGTAATGTCCCACATACTTTTTTAATAGTCATATACATACTGTATATACTAAACATGGTATTTTATAATCCCTTGTAGGTAAAGCAGGCTCCAGCAAAGCCACTGAAACAAGTAATGGTTACACAACACAGAGCTCACCTACAGATGTAGGAAAATGTGAATCAACACAAGTAACCACAAAATTAGCCGTCACATCTCTCCTGCATCGTTTTAGAGAAGTCCTTGTTAAATATGTGGATGACGAGAAGCTTAGTGGAAAATGTCCTTTACCCAGGTTTGAGCCTTTATATCTTTGCATTTCACTATAGAAGAGTTTGCTTTGTATTAACACTTTCGCGCTCTCGGCGCTCAAAAGAAAACAATACCCCAGATGCTTTCGGCACTTTGCGCGCCTACGCGGTTAGACCAAAAAAGTGTACACTCTTTTGACTGTCCTGACAATAATTGAAGGCACACGTATTTAAATTTGGTATCACTGTGTTCGCAATGAAATTGTCTATAAGAGCATACCTATAAAATGCCGCTCAAGCATAAGGAGTATCAACACCAAATAAAAAACTATGTAGATCACTCGCCGAGAGCGCCAAACAGCAACAAAATGTTTCCACTCTCTTAATGGTTGCGAAGCCTACAGTTGTCCTACATCGCTAATTTTGGTATCATTGGAATCGCAATAAAATTCTCCACACGGACATATGCATATGAATGTTTAATATAGGTAATTGCCCACCCGCAAGAGTGTGTGAAGTGGAGAGTAGTTAGCCGCGAGCGCACTGGCGAAAACACAGGGGGAAATCATGCTTGGAAAGTTTATACGTTTCCTGACCCTACTTTTCTATGTACGTATTTCTTTTTTATACCAATGTGTTCGCAATAAAATTTTCTATAAGATGAACTGTATAACATTTGTACAAAGCATGTGTAAGAGAAGCGCCAAATATAGAACCACGTCGCTCAGTATGCGTTCACGGCAGAAACGAACGCATTGTTTTCGTTCGTTTGATGTTTGTCATGTTTATACTTGTTGAAACATTTTATAATTTGTATGACAGCAATCGCAGTAAAATTCCCTACACAGACATATACATAGCACATACAAATATTTCCCACGTGTTGGATATATCAACGGCTAAAAGGAACCCACTGCCACACGCTCGCCACACCCCCAAACATACTTTGTGTATTTTTTTTTTACTCATAGAAGTTTATGTGATATAATATTCATTCTGGTACCAAAAAATTCGCAAATAAATTCTCTACAAAACAAAAGTATCCCCATCCATTTTGGTTAAAAAATGGAATTTATAGAAATATTTTTTCGATGGACGAGAAAAGTAGGCTGTTATGCGGAATCGTAAGAAAAAACGGCGACGAGTTATCTCTAATCTAAAGCGCGAAAGTGTTAATTTAATAACACTTTCACATTCCAGTGAAGCTAAAATAGAATGTTGTACTCAGTACATTCCGTTACTTTTGTAACAGAAAAAATACTGAGCTTTATCCTGGCTGGATAAGAGAATTAGGTGATCCATGCCCGAATCATACACAGTAAACTGTCTACCACACCACTGCGCCACTCGTGCAACCTGAGAAAGGCTGCTCAAGTGGCAACCCAGGGAAGGTTTAAAATTCCAGTTGGGCAGCAGTTAGGTGCCTTGGAATCCATCCCTCTTGGGGCTAGCTCAGTAGTGCAGTTGATAGAGCGACTGTCTCCTGTGCCACAGGTTGGGTGTTCAAGGCTCCTAGTGCCCAGGTAAATGAAATCTTTTTATATATTGTGAGTGGGTTGCTATTCTTATTTTGGAGTATTATGTGGCTTGATTTTCTCCCATTCAAGAACAATTTTGATAAACTTATAGTAACCTATATATTTCAGATAGCTTGGATCTTCAATACCTGAAGTAGCGTTTTTGGAGATAGGTTTTAAGCCATAATTAATTTTTTTTCTACAGGCTAAACATTATTGAATAGACAACTTTGCACTTGTTGTCGTGATCTGTTTTATATAAGAAATATATTATCTATATTTGAGGAATCTAAAGCTCCTTCATCAGTCAGTTAATACAGAAAATTATTTTCTGGTAAATGAAAGAGGTTTAGCAGACACAGTTTCACAATCATGAAACTTTTGGCTTTGTATGTTAAGTTGACAGTGGCCATAGAAGTGATTAACTTGTGGTGGTTCTCAGACTTAACACAGGTATACACCTACTGGATACCTTGTTATCACATTTTGTGGAGACTAAAAAAAAAAAAAAATTATATTTCAGACACAGAATAGCTGAGATAAGCTTTGTACTTAAAGCTATAGCAACGCTGTTGTCATCCCTCAAAAAGGCACCAGTAGAAAAAGGTAAACATTCATCAAGATTTAGCACCAGTCAGTATTATATGAAATATAATAAACTAAAGGCCTAAGTTCCAGGTCGAGTTAAGTATATGAGATGTTATATGATTACTTATTGCAGAATATTTTATGTGATTTCATTACTAGCTATATAGGGTAGTGTCTCTTTTTGAATAAAAACTTATAATTGAATATGTCATTGGTCAATATATATTTGTCTATATTCATGGTAATAACTTCAAACTTTGCATTACACTTGCATAATCTAATTTTCCTTCAATTTTAAATTGTTTCCCAACATTTCAGTGGACAGCATGACATGGACACAGTTGATTGGTCTTTACCCTCATCTTGTGGAAGTAGGTGGGGCAAGCAGCACCGGCACACCTCAGCTGTGGAGATCACTCAGAGAAGTTCTCTTACAGTACGCTCAACTGCTACATCCGCCTTTACCATCTCCTGTGGATTCAAGTGATAATACACATGTTGGTCTCATTAATGGAACTTAAATTGTTATTTTTTTTTTAGTGAGTTTTATAAATATTAAAGTTTGTGAATGAATGAGCTTGAGTGTATAGGGAATCTGATAAAAGCTTATAATGTACTGTATATTGGATTATTTTGTTTTAAGGTCACGTATTGAAAATTGCAGTGAGGCACTTAGTATTGGTGATAACTGTTCATATAACAAATATTGAATAGTGGAGGCAGTGTCTAAAGAAATTCAGATTTAACAATAGATAAAATTAATATTCTAGTGTTCTCTATTTTAAATTCTAGATACAGTGTATTGCATATTCTTGGGCATGTAAAATTTGGCACTACCCATCCACTCGTGATGATAATTGTTACGTAATACTTGTGTCCCCACGTCATAAGATTAGAAATGGGGTCGTGATATTGATGATGATAATAATAGTACAGTAATATTAATACAAAATTTACAAAATATTGAGTTTCCCTAGAGTGTGTGGTGTGAATGTATAAAGTATTTGACTATAAGAAAAGGCATAGTATTTCCTGGGCAAGTCAATTTAATCTTGTTCTGCACTTAAGCTTGTGCTGTATTTTTGCAAGATGAGATGTACATAATTACAAAAAGTATGCAACTAACTAAATAAAGTATCATAGAAAAGGTATAAATGAAGCTCTGTATTTCTTGTCAGTTTGAATATCATGAGAAATATTGCATGTACGCTATATCAAGATAACCCAAATGATTTTTTCCATTTACGTAAATTATATTTTTTAAATATTTGGAATATCTTAAAATATAAGTACTATGCTGTGTTTACAATAAGGTTTGTGAATTTTTGTGTTTTGATTTGTATGGTAAGTGTAATGAGTGTAGTGTAAGGATAGCAGTACTCACAGCTGCTATTGCACTCAAGAGCTTGGCTTATATCCGCTTAAGGTGAGTACAAAGTCTGGGCTTTTGTATTGTAGTTTCTTTCACATACAAGAGCTGACAGTTATTTTTAATTATATGTAAATAAAATACATAGCATATGGTGACACAGTTTTGCAGTGAATAAAACTTTGAACACAGCTTGTAGGGGCTCAGTAAGGGATGTTTTGAAGAGCTTTCTTCTCTGGCTGCTATATCATCACATCAGTGGCTCAGATTGTCAGATTAATGTGTACTATATGCATCATTCGTTGTGCTCTTGCTGTGTTTGGAGTATAAGAATGTAATGAACACAATCTTATTTTACACTGGCTAAATATGTAGAATCTCACATACATCTATATGTTAAGCATGTGTAAATAAAATCAGAGTATATCATGTATCTTGGTTGACAGTGTTAAGGTGTTTCTCTAAGCACCTCTGTTTAGCATTATTATTAATTCCTGTTGTAGCTCCTTATTTTATAGGCAATGTGAACTGCAGTTCATTTATTATTCAAGTACAATATTGTTTCAAAGGACAGTATGCCAATTTGCTCATTAGGCTTTAGAATGATAATCTCTTTATTTTTGTCTCAAAACTGCACTAAAATTTCAACTTCACCGTAATGAATTTAATTTTTTTTACAATTTGGCCTATATCTGTGGGCCTTGGTCTGGATTGTGTCTGCTAGCTTGGGAGAATTTACCCCATCATGGCGTTCCTCGATTGTGGTAAGGTATGAGTGCTTTGTTGGAGAGTTCCTTCAGCCACCTGCTGGGGTAGAAGCAGGACCAAAGTTGTCTGTGGCTTTATCATGTATAGATCCAAATATTCCCCATTTCCCTTTTATCTGGAGGTTGAGGCTATCAAGTGGCTGCAGCGCCAAGGAAAGGGGAAGCAAAATGCTGCTTTGGTGAAAAGATAAGGGTAGGTTCAAATGTTTCAGACTGAATCAATTACAAAATCAGCAAATTTTTCATTGATTTTAACAATGATGCTGTATAACACCCTCACTATTCCTAGGGGGCCACTCACCCTCAGTTATTTTTCTTGTACCTCTCACATTCCAACATTAGATATATTTGGTTTACCTACTTGTACCAAATATTTTTTTCATTATACACTACGGACGATATACGGTTGTTGATGATCTACATATTCACCTACTTCAGTTCTTTGATTAATATTACCTTCCATTTCAGTCTGACACACATTATTGAGATCCAGTGTGTTTCAGAAACATGCTGACCACCTTACTTAAGAGTTGGTGAGGTTCTGGTTAGTCACTGAAAATATCTGACTGAATACAAGTACAGGTACTATTGTATTCCCCCCCCCCCCCCTCCTCCCCTCCCCTCCCCCATCTTTCAGCTGGCAGCAGAGATCTTAAGAAATGCAATGCCATTTCAGGCTTTGCAGCATTTCTTTGTCCAGGTGGACTTGTTCACCTGCCCCCTCATGTTAAGCGTATTAATGAATACCTCCCCCTTCTATATCACTAAAACTATATATGACAGTTGAACCCCACCAACCTCAGTTATCCTGGGGAAGATGCTGGTCAAATATTCTGTCCAGGAATATATACTCTACCAACTCCAATGATTGCTGGAAGTTTATCCATGGTGCCTTGACATGCTTAAGTGCATTGCTCTTTTTGCCATTTTGTAGCAATTCTGGACATGTCATCATTGCTTACACAACTGCACTCGCTCGCTGCATTAATAGCAATGATTGAGGTAGTCTGGGGTTTTTGTTAGTTTTGGGGGTGCACAATTCAGGTTCACTGCTTACACCTTTCCTCACCGTGTTTTCCCAGGCCAGGAGTTGATATGAGTTTACCAGGCATCTCCTACGTCTGGCCTCCTGACCAGTCACCCCAGGTCAGGTCAGTGCAGGTAATCCGCAGGTCTCATGTGGTCCGGGATAGGCATTGACCTTCCCTCCAAGTCTGTTCCCACTCTGTGCTGTTTTTCTTAATGCTATGCTAAAGAGGCCATTCAGGCCTGTCTCATCTCCTAGAAGTAAATTCTTTACTCAGAATTTTACCCGATCACTCATAATGCCATTTTCAAAACATTAGAGAGAAATTGTTATGTATTCCAAACAACAAATTACTAGGTCCGTACAAGCAAGTGTGACATAAACTCGTAACCTTCCTTCCCCCCTACTTCCTGGAAAATGATGAATGCCTCTGGTTAGGTTAATTATTAGCCACATTCTATTAACTCAATGAAACAGACATGCACCTTACTATCAGAACTACATTGTCCTACTAATGGTTGCACACCTGAAAATATCCTGATTTTCAGAATGATCAGAAATCTTGTTTTTTCCAATCAAATATCCATCCCTTGATAAAATCCTTGGTGAATCTGATACCTTTGACATTGCTTCTCTTAAGTTTTTCCACTCTTGTATTGGCATCCTAAATGATATCTATAATTTTTTTAATATTCTGCAAGTGCTTAAAAAGTCTTCCAGGCTTGGCACTTTTTTTTTTTTTAATGGGAGAATTCCTCCAACTTCATTATAAGTCTGATTGCATGGCATAGCAGGCATTAATCATTTGTATTTAAACATTTATGATCTGTATTGGTATATTATAATTATTATTAGTACTTTTTCAAAATATTTTGTGGAGAGGACTCGTTTGTCAAATGGGGTTAGGATAGAGTTTAACTGGTAGCTGAAAATATTTTAATTATTTAAGAGTTCAAAGCATGGAAGTAAAGATTAAAGTTTTCAAAAACTGTTTGATTCTGTAATCATTAAAGTTTCAAAATAGCTAAGGTAAACTTGGGTGCCATTCTTAGTGAGGAAAGTAGGCAAACCACCATTACCAGAAAGGTGCATCTGCAACAAAGTGTTGGGGAGGGGATTAAAATTTGCCTGCTTGAAGATATAAAAGCACTTTAGTAAGTACAGCAAATGGAGTGTGTACATACTTAGAACTTGGTATATATTTTTTGTAATGCTGTATATGTATGTTATATGACCAGGATTTGAACTGGTTCTCTTGTTCATCGACCAGATAAAATAAAGTAGAGCGGAAATGAAGCGATCTGTAGTGATGTTAAGAATTTTGGGTAGTATGTGAAAGTTGTATAGATATACCCTGTGGATTAAAGACCAATTATTAGTTTATTTATTTTTAAACACATGCATAAACAAATTTTGTACATGTATATACAGTAGTAGTAGGCATCAATCAGTCTCAGGAGACTATAGACTTGCGCACTGACGTCGGCCTGGTCTGGAGTGGCCTCACCAGGGCGCAAAGCCAGGGTAGGTTGATTCGGGGGAGAAGCTGTTACCCAGGCAGCAGGTCCCCCGACCTGCTGCCATTGTATATACTTCTCCAGTGCAGTATATAAAATAGTCTATATACTGTACTTTTTTCTTCAAAGTTATTCCTGACAGGAATAGAATGCCATTATTGTACTACACAGCTACAAATTATGTTAACATTTCTAATTTGGTAATTAGAACATACAAATATTTTCTCAAGGTGAAATTATAATGCAGTTGTAGATACAAGTTCACAGACTGCTTGTTGAGCTGCCTCATGTAAAATTGAATCGTCAGTTGCTAGTGGGAAAATGTATTTGTTTCTTTGGCCATGACTGCCATTCTCAACTAGCAACTGCAGCAGGTATTGTTTATAAGATTTACACTAGAATAGCTCACTGAGCAATGTGTGAGCTTTAATCCAAAACACCATATTAAGAAATATAAATTTTTTATATCTGTTCTTTATCCAACGAGGCCTGTTTCCTCCCTTCCTGTTTGTAATGAATGAACTGAACTGTAGCAGTGCAAAAATTCTATAGTTTTATACCAGCTTACGTTCGTGCAACTCAAAACCCACACAAATCACAGGTACAGTATATGGATAAAATAGTTAAATTCCAGAATTCTCCAAGTCCCCATTTGTCTGTACTAAAAAATACAAGAACAGTTATATTATTAATGTTCAGTGCTTCTAGTTTCTAACTACAAATGCAGGACATAGTGAAGTTCAAAATAGTTGAAATGTTCAATGAGGCATAAATTTATCCGAAGAAGTTTATAAAACATTAAATTACAGGTTAGGAGAGTCTAACTTACCAAGAATACAATTGAACTGCATTATTTTCTCCACACAAATTTTAAAATCTTAGTCATAGGCTTTACTCTATTACCTTGATGTTGTCTTAATACTTGGAGTACTTGACCCAGCTGTATACACTTTAATTATCTTTCTGCATTATTTTTGATGATACGAGTTGCTCAACTTATTGACCCCATTGTGGCAGCAGACTTATCAAGCTTCGTTTGCAGTGTCAACATTTCCTTCCTTTATTCCAATGCAGCAGTTGCTGGATGTTAGGCAGGTGCTACATGCAAGAATGTAATCCTTTAAAGTTTGTAAAACACTAAAAAAGTATGGAATCACAAGAATCAAATGCCATTAAAAAAAATAGTACTATGCTTTACTCGTCCTATTAATGCAGGTCACTATACGGCTAGCACGCTTTGTCGAGATTGTTCTCGACCTGAGTTGCGTCAAAATTTGCTTGCTCAATTTAAAAACTTTTTCAATTTAAAAATTATTAAACTCCAAATCCTCATTACTCAAAACTGCACAAGACCAATTAGAATGTGCATTTTTTTATATATAAAAATTTTCAACACACTAACTTAGTCTGATCAAATTAACTTAAAGATACAGTACTATACTAATACACTGTAATTTTTTTTTATAAAAAATGAAGTATGGTGGATTGTATTAATTTTTTGAGCGTTACTAAAGATGTTTTTTCTAGTAATTTTTGGCCTAGGAAGTTTTCTCCATGTTTTAATCTTTTTACTGCTTTGAAGTACTTCAACCTCCCATCAGCAGTCTTGAGAACTCATTTAATCTTTAGCCTCTATCCTACAAGTTATGTTTTTCACTTTTAATCAGCAGCTCAACAATGACTCGGCCTAATTGTTTAAAATTTGGTACTCGTGTGCCATAGCATTTGTATATTATTTTATATTGATCTATGGCTTTTTAGATTCCTTGTGGTAGGTTAGAGAATATATAAAGTTTTGTACAGTAATTTAGAAATCGTAATATTTTTGGTGATATCTAAACAGTGCCTGATTGTACTTATTTTAGTCCTTCGCTAGCTTTTGTGCGATTGATTAAACAGGTGTCAATAAAATTAGTTTCTTGTGAAGCTTGTTGCATTAGACATAAGGGTACAGTATGTTACATTATTACAGGTACTACCACTCACTACATATCTTTATGCATAATACAATTATTTTTCAACACATTTTGAGCTTTACCTGTCTGTGCCCTGCCCCACAATTGCTGTTTGTGAGTGTTGCTGTTTGCATGTCACTTTCCTTCCCCCATCTTGAGAAATGCTGTTATACTTAAAATTCTTTTCTTCGTGGTTTATTTAGTGTTGTTGATTAAATTATATTTTGTTTACATAATTAAATTGATGTACCGGTATTATTTATTGTGTGAATAGTCCCAGAATTATAAGAGCTCTACATTACGAAGAATTAGGTCATTTCTTTTAACACTAACATTCTGATGATGTGCTTTAGCGCCATCCATACTTCAACAGTAAACTTTCTGATGACGCGAAAATGCAGCATCCATCTCTAAATTACCGAAAGTTATATTTTTTTCATTATTGTTACTTATGATTTTGGAGAGTACAGATCATAAATAGTTTATTAGGAGACCATCTAGATATCACGTCAGCCAACTCTTGTCAGTCCAAAGGATAATTTCTCTGCTTATGAATATGTTCACTTTTGTTTGCAAATTTTCTGCCAGAAAAATAGGAAAATTGTTTCTTTTTACTGTGATATACAGTGATAAAATGTGTGTACATTTCCATAATTAATTAATATGTGGTTAAATTACCCTAGTCTGTTCTCATATCCTATCCCTATTGACCGATACCAGTATTGTCGTAAACCTGAACATTATCAGACTTGTCTGATTGACAAGGAGTGGGCTCCATATTGGTGCCTCATACTCTTATAAATCATGTGGGAACAAAACAAATGTTTTAAATGACTACTTGTTTAGATTCCTGAAAACTGTTATGTTTTCTATCTTTGTAACAACTTCTAATGTTGCTTTGGTTTTATGTGGGCAGGTTGCAGTGCCTATCAGGCTGTTCTGTTTTTCTAGTCTTCTCCACTTGTTCTCATTACTTTGCATTTGCTGTGATTGAATTACAATAGCCACTTTATTTGACTAATATAAATCAATAGGAAGATACACCAATCCTCTAGCAATAGTCTTTGAAGTTTTGCTCTTTTCATATAATAATAATAATAATAATAATAATAATAATAATAATAATAATTTCCTTTAAGCTATGTATCAACTACAGATATCAGCATGTAGGCATCCATATCCACCAGTATTACTTACTTATGTTACTTACAATGTCTCCAAACTTTGTGGAATCCAACCTGTTTGATGGCTTCACATTGTAATTCAGGGCTAGGATTCATCAAGCATTTATGCAACCATTACAAATCCTGTACAACTTTCCTCAATTATGAAGACTTTGTGTACAGTTATTAAGGTTTGAGCTCCAAAGCACTATGTTGTTTACAACAACAATAACCTTGGATTGGAAAGCTTCAAAACTTGTAAACTGCTTAATAACTAAACAACGATGCTGTGATTAAAGAAAAATGTACAGATTTTGCAAGTGGTTGAATAAATGCTTGCCAAGTCCCGACACTGTTTTCTGTTAGGTATTTTCTTACTCGATTAGTATTCATATTACCGTAACCTGCTTCTCCATTGTATATACTTTGTCTTCTGCAGTGGACAGTGTTAAAGGCAATTTGGTAACTATATAGGAACATGCATGCTACACACTTTTTTTTTCTGTCTTGTGCTAATTATTCTATAATATTAGTAGGCCAGGTAAACTGGTATTGCACCTTTTCTAGTTTGCTGATATGCTTCTTGAGATATGGATACCATACAGCTGCTGCATACACTAATTTTTGGTTTCTTGAATGGCATGGACAATTTCTTTAGTATTTTCCCATTGAAGAATTTAAAAGCAATTTGAAATTTGCAAGTACTGTACTGTACAGTTCTGTTTAATGTTGGCCCTTTTCTCGATGCCTCTAATGTGATCCTCTGGCGACAGGTTTTCTATCCAGAGCCATCTCTAGATCTCCTCCTTAAAGTTCTTTAGTATTTTTTTACATAATTTATAGACTACATGTGACCTATTTTCCCTATTCCACATTTCAGTATGTGACATTTGTCCACATTGGATTCTGACTGCCACATGTGACTCCATTTGCCATTTTTGTTTAGGCCATTTTGAAGAGCATTAGTCATGTAGGTCTTTAATTCTCTTCAGTCATCTGGCATTATCCATAAACATGTTCATATACCTGAATCTCCTCTGGTAGATTGTTTATATAGACAAGGAACATTACCAATACTGTACCTTGTGCTAATAGTGTGATATATATTCTTTAATCACTGCTCTCATTTTTCTGTCGATTAGAAAAATGTTTCATACAGGTCAGTAGTCTGCCTTTCACCTTTGCCATATGTCCTGGCTTTCAGAACAGTCTCTTGTGGGCAGTTTCTGTAAAAGGCCCCCCCTTTTTTTTTTTATAGGTCCATGAAGATGCATTCAACCCAACTTCCTCTCTGTGTGGCTGTGTGTGAACTCTTCTAGATGTGCTTGAAGTGAGCATCAAGAACTTTAATTCATTCCATTTATGACTCGTACTTTAAATTCTAAAATCTATACAACTCATTTGTTTCTTCAGTTTTTTCTATCTCCCCTTGTTCTGCAATTTCTAGCTGTGAACATTGTTTCTGTCTACTTGGTCAATTCCCCTTAGAATCTTGTATATTATCATATCTGCTCTGTTCCTTTCTCCATTGAGGCAAGATCAGTTCCTTTAGCTCTGGAAATGAGCCTTGTTGCATATCTTTTGATCTTTTCAATTTTTTTTTAGGTGGGGGTTCCATACCAGGGCAGAGTACTCAACATTGAGTCTCAATGTTTGGATAGCTCCTATGTTCAATTTCCTAAAGGCTATTTGAATGTTGGTCAGTTTGGCATGAGCAACACACGTTATTCTGCTGATGTGTGTGTGTATAAAGTTTGGAGTTATGTCTACTCCAGTATCTTAATGAAGTAGGAAGCAATTTCCTTTATTTTGTATTGTATTTGAGGTATTTGCATTGTATATGTGCATGTATGCAACTTGTTCATAATTACTATCAGCATCTCCAAGCAGCAAGAACAGTCGCATGGAACCCCATAACCTAGCTATCGATACCTGGTGCTTTTAAATTTAAAAAAATTCTCGGTTACTTTCTAAGATGCTTTTGAAACTGTGGATAAGGATAGCATTCATAACTTATTTGAATGCATTCCATAAATAATCCTGATTATAAAAAAAGTCAGTCTTGATCTTGTACAAGGATGTGAAGAATGCTATGCTCTATTCTCAGAAATGTATGACCCTTAGAGTACAATTTTCACAGGCAAAATCTTCAAAAAGATAAAGTAATAGATTTTGTGTACAGTTACATAGAAACTTAAGATACTTAGGTAATGTCTTAATAATATGTTGTGTTTATAAGCAGTGCAGTTTAAATAGAACCATAAAATAATGTTATGCCACTTTGGGTGCAAGTCAGACGAAAATTCTGAATTTTTTCCATAATTTTATAAAAACAAAGTTAATGCAACCAGAAGCCATAATGTATATACTCTATATTATCTGGAATGTTATGTCTCATTTGTACATACAAATTTGCATTAAAGACATATTCGTGACAGTTATGTTTAACAAAGCCAATGCTCTGAATAGCTAGACAGCCAGTCACAAAATATACCTAGTATTTACTGGTTGGTGTTAACATTTTGTTAATTTAATGTCTTCAAATGCATTTAGCAGGCACCATACATAGTCTTCCCAGCTTGGCACCTTTTGATAATTATTAAGCAGGTGCCCATGAATCCAGGTCGTTAGAGGTCCATTCTGGCATTGGTGTAATATTAAAGGCAAACCTTTGGCTGAAGCATTCTTTTATACATAGTTTGCTTCTCGGTTCGCACTTAAGTCGCACTGTGCAATGTAGTGTAGCTGTATACATATCCCCCCTCCCTCCCTCCCATAAGAAATATTCATCATTTTATAATGTTAGGTTGTATTTCACATTAACAAAACATGGTTTTTGAGGACATGCAGTTTTGTGTATGAGAAGTTATGATTTTTAAACATTTATATCTACTTTAAGCTTCAGAAGTTGACATGGTTGTTAAATTTATAATGAAAGAATAAAATACATGTTACTAGTTCTATATCATTAGCCTATCTGAGGGTTTGTATGTGTATGTACATGCACTTGCCTTTAAACCTCTAAATCTAAAATGTCTGCTTACTAGAAGTTTAACATGACAAAATATTAGGTGTTACCTTTGGTGGGTAGATAGCTCATGGTGGTGTTTTCTGAGAGGGTTACCCCTCAGTGGCTCTCCGAGCTAACTGGTTACCTTCAACTATCATGCTCCATTGATGATTGATAAAGATTAAGCCACCCAAGAGGTGGCACGGGCATGAATAGCCCGTAAGTGGTGGCCCTTTTGAGCCATTACCAGTATCAAGAGATGATACTGGAGATCTGTGGAGGTGCGACTGCACCCTGCGTGACTGGAGATGTCTCCCCTGATCATGCTGCACCAGACCCTAGGTAGTCATAAGCACCTACTGCAAACCAGAATGGAATCTGGTCCACCCAATGTAGGCAAAGGCAATCTGGAGATACAAGATCAACCCAAGCCAAGAGGTAAAGCCACCATTAAGAGTACATCAAAACAAGCAACTGTATGGTGAAATATGGTAATATTACTGCCCGAAATATGGAAATATTCCTGCCCGAAATGCTTTGCGTAATAGTGGCTTTAGTCATTGTCTGTACTAGCTCTATCTATAAATCCATCAACTTTTGTATTTCACCTTGTATATATGTACTTTACCTGAATAAATATTTGTATTTTTATTTGTATGGTAACCTTGTTCATCATACACATACAGTAACTAGTGATGGTAACATGCTAATTACACTCTCCCTCTCCACCAAATGGCAGCCCATGGAAAGCTAATGTAAGAACTACAAGATAGCCCAACCTGATGACCTAAAGTGCCACAGACAACACAAAACTATGAGACAAAAGGGGTTAGAAGTAAACAATATATATATACAAAAATAGTTAGTGTTATAATGTTAGCCGTCTTTATGTGTGACTCTTGCTATCAGTATCAGAAACAATTACGTATAATAAGGTTAATTGGTGCTCAAAACTAGTGCCGCATATATTTAATGTGATAAAATAGGGAACTTTGCCAGGGCGAAATCTTTGAAATGAATGCCATTTTAAACTGCCTCCACGAGAAAAATTTTAATATTTCAGATTAAACTTGCAGAAGTTTGCATCGTTCGATATTGCTGGAGAGTTGGAGTTTTGGAAAAGATGTTAAGAGCGTTGGGGGAAAACCTTTAAGAACTCTGGAAGAAAAGGCCTTCGGATCCCTGACAATAAGGTTCAAGGCCCCTTTCCATACACTTACGGATAGTTAAGAAAAATCAGGCTTCGTTCAAAAGACTGAAGTCCTGTAGGTTGATTACAAGTCTTGTTGTGCAGTGGGCATTTTTTTTTCATCCATTGTACTTACCCCTGGGGAATAATTGACTGTTGTGCTTTGCACTGGCCTATCAGGTAACCCACCGCTGCCATACGGTTTTCCTCAGCCTTTGTCCAACACAGTTTTGTGGGTGCACCGCAGACCTGGGGATTCACCGCAGCCCCTGGGGTTCACCGCAGCCCTGGGGTTCACCGCAGCCCTGTGGGTTCACCGCAGCCCTGGGGGTTCACCGCAGACCTGGGGGTTCACCGCAGCCCTGGTAGTTCACCCGGGTCTCGAGTACGAGGAGCCGCAAGGTGTGCTACTGGGCTAACAGGAGTATTGGCCTGTCATTGTAGTATTGGGCCACCACAATGGCGGCATAGCTTCGAATCCTTGAAAGATCATTTCAATTTATTGTCTTAATTATATATTTATATAATTAGCGTATTTTGGTGTTGTTTGTCAGGATATATCTGGTGATTATCTGGTTATGCGTAGAGACTATATATTCTGTGACAGAGCCTTGTTGTTTGTGCATTGTCATTCGCCTTTAAAATTGTCTTGCCGATATACTAAGATCATTGGAGCTAACAGTTCCCAAGTAGGCAAATCAAGACATTAAGTTTTATGTCGGGGTGAGTTTTTCCGTGAGTAATGTTATCTGCCATCACATGTCCACTTGGGGACTGTCAGTCAAAATGATTGTGGTATAATTATAAGACAACACCGTCTCTTTCAAGGCGTCTTGAAAGAGTTCCTTGCCCCATCAAGGAACATATAGACTTAATACACAGGATAATCACCAGAGATAGCCTGACATACAACACCATAATACTCGACAGATACAGCAACAATAGAAAATTTGACGCATTGGCACTGGCGAGGCAAAATATATATATCAAACAAACCCAGCCAACACCAGGTTACACACTACCATCTTCGAGAACACGACGGAACATCCAACATACTGCACCAGCCATCAGTGAAACAATAGATTGGTAAGCTGTTGTGGACCTATTTGCCCACGGCGAGATCCTAGCGTTTAACCTCACCCCTAGTTATATATCCAGGCTTCTCTAATATTGTAATTACTTATACTCTGCCTCTAATAATGTTGACAAGGATCAACGAAACGAATCTGTGAGCGTCAGGTCATAGTAAAATTGTAAAATTAACTTTTTGAGAATTTTTCAAATTTCTTCTCAAGTGAGGAAAAGTATAAGAAACAGAAGATTCGCGCTTGAATCTTTGATCTCATCCTGTCATAATGTATAAGTACACATTTTATAATTAAATGTACAGTCTTTATAAATATATATAATTTAATTTACCAACACGACGGCAGGCAATGGGCGCTGATAATTATGATAGTCGGACGTCGGTATACGCCTACCTCAAGCGAGCCTATTCGCCAAGTCAGTTTCTGGCGCACGGTCCGGAGGTTCAACAATATACAGTAGTTTGCAATTGGAAGCGTGTTGAAAAAAATAATAATTATTTCCTCATGCATAAATTGTCTTTCATGAAGGGCGGCAATGTGAGGAATCCAATTTCAACTTTTGCATCCAGGTCTGTCACTTGCAAGGGAGTTGCCAGACATCTTGAGAATAAAGTATTCTTTCTCGCCCAGACTGTCATTCGTTTCCGCTGGTCCACGTCGAGAGGAAACTTTCCCAAAGTTAAGTTTTTCCTCCATGGTCATTACGTTTAAATAACTTAGCCTATATTACTCTCGGGGGAACGTTTCTGTTGGAGTCCACCTGTAACTGGGTTAAGTTTCAGTGGGCATAATATCCAAGAGTAACGATAATTCAATGTTAAATCAATGTTAATATCGTCTATTTAACGTTACACTTGGATAGTGTGCCCACTGGGGTGGTGGAGACTAAATGTTCAATCAGAGAGAGAGAGAGAGGGGGGTAGTAGCCAGTAGTGGAGCAAATTATTCAACTCGCATAAAGAAAAGACTACCCAAGTGGGGCAGAGTTCTAATGGTCGGGGCGACAGATGAGGGCTGGCGGCCAGCGCCCCTAAACGTGACGTCGGCGACGTCGGACATGTTTCAGAGACGTCACGACGGCGACGCTGGGGGTGTCGGAGGCAGTGATGCACCTTTACTGCAACAAACCGTCGAATAATTCCTAAACGCCATTCAGAGAAGCCCTCGCACCACCTAAGACTCAGCAGCCAGGGGTCTCAGAAGAGTTCCCGACAAGAAGGAAGGTGAAATACAACTCAAAACAGTCAGGAGAAGTGTTAGGAGAAACAGTAATACTTTGTAGTTACTTAGTGGTATAATTACTTGTTATAAGTTACATTATGGCTCAAAAAGTTTGTTAACTCGAGCGTTATTCTGCTATCATCCCAAATAATCGTCGAACATCCCACTCGCAAAAACAAAACAAAAAATGCTATCAGCTGAATTTGTAGACGTGAGGCGATAACTCTGATCCCCGTCTATCAGCAATCAGCTGGGCTTGTTGGCATGTGGTCATGTATAAACAGCTGAACTCATTGCATAGCTCTCAATTTGGTCAACAGAGGGAGGTTCCGTGTTGGCCGTAGGCAGCCAGGCTTGACATCATGGTGATATCACAGCTGTGAAAGAGACGTGTTTTCCTAAATTATTTTACAAAGTTATTTTTGAGGTCACTTCTGCTGACTTGTATTGTCAGTAGCACTGATTGCTTATTGCATAGCAACAATGTTGTGGAGTTTGCTGTCTTCCATCTATCTTGCATTCCAAAACACAGTATGACACCGAAACAATCACCGCAGTGGAACACAATATACAGTGAGGAACAGTGCAATCACTTCTGATTCTTGGAAACCAAGCCCATGGGAGAATATATGTTTTGATGAAGTGGCAGCTTGTTGGAGCAGCATAAGGCAATGTCAAGGTTCAACCTTCAGGAACTCAGGTAAGTGTGCCTACACTTGCACAGATGTATTAATAAACATAAACAGAAATCCAGCCAAACAAATGCCGAGGTTTGAAGATATAGGATTAGGCTTGGCTATGAGAAAAGAAGCTTTGAACGTCATGAATTAACTAGTATAAAAAGTTAGTCTGAATTAACTCTGTTAAAGGCCATGCTCTTTCGAATCTATGAATAGACACCACTTAAAGAGAAACAAACTATTGCCTCGTATTCGCACCTCGTTACTCAGAACCCAACCTTAATATCCCATGAATATTTCTAGTTTTCTCCGATTTTGCGAATCAGCCCCCTACCCCCCTCGCTAGCCTAATATCCTGGAACCTCTCCAATTTCCAGGAAGTGCCATCCAGGACAATAAAGCATGTCAGCAGTCTTCGTCTTCCATAATGCACTTGGACTCTGATCATTGTGTCAGCAGAAAATATCGCCTGCAGTACAATTTTTGGAATTGTTCTGACGGCGATAATAATGCTCCACGAGAGGGTATAAATGCCTACCTAAGCTCTATATTCAGTGTCAAAAATTAAACCCTTGCTGTACATAGTGTAAAAATTAGCTCCATATTGCGTTGAAAATTGCATATCATACACTATATATGCAACAACATATGCCTAGGCCTGTAAAGTTTTTAGTTTTACCGACCAAACGAAACATATGTTTGATACGAGTCTGCTTTAATGGGAGATCCGATTAGCACGTAAACAGATAGGCAGGCCTCTCGCGAGG